TATCGGACGTACCGTCCGGACGACGGCTCCAAGGGCAACGAGCTGCTGCAGAAGGCCATCCTGCTGTACCTGACCGAGCACCTGGATCTGCACGACAAGTCCGGACGGTACGATCTGCTGGAGCGCCCGAACGCCAAGAAGCTGCTGGTGGAGACGGAGTTCGGTCATCTTGACCTGGAGAAGCAGAAGCGACTGAAGGCGCTGCTGGACCAGCCTGCATCGCCCGAGGTCGCCAAGCTGGCGGTGAGTGTGCTCCCTCCCCTTAACCAGTGGGTGGCCGTTGCAGAGGGCGTGGAGTTCTTGAACGAGACGGAGAAGAATGACGACGAGAAAACGACCGTCCAAGAGACCAAGACGCTCTTCCACCTGCGCTCCAAGCTGCCGGACGGGCCCGAGCGAATCGACGCCTTTGTGGAGAAGGCGTTCGCCTTCTACCGCGACCTCGAGAACAAGAAGTTCAAGAGCGACACTGCCCGCTACATGTACGTGCGCTCCTCCGAGCGTCCCGCTGCGACCGACACGGACGACGAGAGCAAGCTCAGCGCTCCGTACCACAAGCGCTACGCCCTGGGCAACGACAAGACCTTCGACAACGTCTTCTTCGACGAGAAGGAGTCCCTGCTGCAGTTGCTCGACCACTTTGCTAACAAAACTGGCAAGTTTGCCATCGAGGGGTTCCCGAACAAGGTCGGGCTGCTGCTTTACGGTCCTCCGGGCACGGGCAAGACCAGCGTGATCAAGGCTGTGGCCGAGAAGACTCGCCGCCACATCGTCAACATCCCGCTGGGCAAGATCAAGACCAACCAGGAGCTCATGGACGCCATGTTCGACTTGCGCTACGCCGTGGACGGGCTGGATCTGCCTGTTCGCATGGGGTTCAAGGACGTCGTCTTCGTGATGGAGGACATCGACTGCGCGTCTTCGGTCGTGGCCAGCCGCGAGGACGGCCCGACCACTCCGGTGTCGGGAGGTGAGGCTGCTTCTTCGCCTCGTGTCGAGGCTGAGGTGGCAGACAACGTCGGTGGAGCACGACTGTCGCCCAATTGCCACCGCAAGGCAGCTCAGCGCTTCCTTCACCCCGGTATGATGAACTTGCATGGCGATGACGACGAAGAGGAGGACGATGGCTTCCTGTCTGTGCTGCTGCAGTCGCAAATGGAGTTTGAAGGCTTCGGCCCGAAGCTGAAGGGCGGCTTCGTGTCGTCCTCCAACTCGACGGACAAGCTCAACCTCGCGGGCGTCCTGAACGTCCTGGACGGAGTCATCGACTGCCCCGGGCGGATTGTCATCATGACGACCAACCACCCGGAGATGCTGGACCCTGCGCTCGTCCGTCCTGGTCGCATCAGCAAGAAGCTCCACCTCGACTACATGTCCACGGAGCAGATGGGGAACATGATCTCCTACTACTTCTCGACCACACTCACGGCTGAGCAGCGCAGCCGCCTCGAAACGCTGGAGGACTCCGATCGAGTCTTAACGCCTGCAGACATCGAAGAGCTCTGTGCGGAGCACGAAAGTGCAGACCGCGCACTGGAGCGGATGCTTCGGTAGCTGGAGTACTCTAGTTCAAATAAAAAAATATTATATCGACGCTGCTAATCGGAAGGTGCTGGCGTTGATGACCAGGCTTTCAAAGGTGCATCAAACAGGTATAGCAACGTATCAGTTGCCACCTCGTCACGAAAAGTGCCGTCTTGATCGAGCTCTGGTTCGTAACTCCTGTCTATTTTCCGCGAGCTCGTTGATACTTTTTTTTGAGTGTTCATCTTTACACGAGTGAAGTCAAAGTAGTTGAAGTTTTTGCCCTTCATAACCCTTGCTGTTTATTCACTGTGGAGGGCGAGACACCATGATGCCACGGAAAGCGAGCCGAGCAGACAGCAGGAAAGCGATCCAGACGCTTGAGGAAGAAGGCGAAGAGGAGGAGGCGGAAGACGACGTCCAGCACGTGAAAGCAGAGCGAGCCCCAGTGAAGCAAATCCAACCAGCCAACACCCCGAGCTCCGACACCATGACGGTGACGGTCGTTCAGCCGGTGAATAACGGAAGACCTAATATACGCTTGACTCGACGCTCTTCTAGCGCTGTGGAGCGAGCAACGTTGCAGCCACCTCCCGAAGAGAAAAAGGACGGAGGCGACAAGTCCCTACGACCGAGATTTTTGCAGGAGAGGTCCGCTACGATCGTGCACATTCAACCATCGGTGACCGATCCATCTCGAGTCCCCCGATCCAAGGCTAGTGCGTTCTTGCTTGGAGTACTAGCGAAGTCGAAGGCGGCAGGACCAGGAGCTCTTGGGGGGCTAGGAGACAGTAAACGTGGCGTACTAGAGCCACTTCGGTCTGGTGTGACCAATACTGTTCACTACGTTCCCCCTCAAGGTGTCGAGAGAGGAATACCGCTACGAATGGCTGGGCGACGCAATAGCCGTCTGTTTAACCGCCAACTTTCCATTGCGTCCGCAGCAGCAGACGCAGGGTTACCCGACGGAGCGAGAAAACGCCGCGTCAGTGCCAGCCAAGAGCACATGACAGCAGTTCTTCGAGCTCTACAGGCCAGTAAGCAGCAAGCTCCACAACAACTCGACATTTTGCACAGTATTCTGCGCTTCATCAATACTAATGACAGGGATGAGGACGGCAAACGACCCGTCCTCAAGGAAATGGTGGATGTTGGATTCATTCCCGAACTGTCGAGTATCTTACGCGAGTTTCGCTTCAACACGGACGTACAGGTACGTTTGCAGGTGAAAACTTGGTGAACAGGGGTCTTAACTCACGTCCTTGTGCATCAATAGGTTTGCGCTATGAGCATTTTAGCGACCATAGCGGACGAATCGCCAGTGTACGCCTACATGATGAGCGAGGTAAGCAACAATGTGCTATATGTCACTATTTACTTGGTAACAACGAATCTCTTTGGCTCTACTGCGCAGTTTAGTCTTGAGAAGCTGCTTCAGAAGAATGCAACCGTGCATGGCACTCATGAGCGCCTCGTAGTGCTCGCCTCCAATCTTGCCCATACCATCGAGGACTCGAAGCACTCAGTCAACATCCCAGCTTACCAAGCCGACAAGGCAGCAAGGCTCCGTAGACAATCCGCCACATACGCTGACATGATCGTCGCAGCAATCGGCGCCTCAAAGCCGAAAAAGTCGGTGGCTTCCCCGTCACCAAGCAGATGCTCAACAGCTCGACGTTCATGTCATTCGGGGATCCTAGACACTCAAGAAATGCGGAGTCGTACTACGCCTTCTAGCGCTCCTCTCCCCGAAAAGAGTGGATCTGAGCGTGAATTGAGCCGATCAGTAGGGAAACAACGGCAGTCGTTTGCGCTTACGGTGGGCCCACCCAAGCTCAGTGCAAATTACCGCTTGCTCTTCGCACAGAAGTTGAAAAAGTCGGAGGTTCAACCGCTGCAAAAAGTGGAGAATGAGAAGATTCAGTCGGTAGATCGGAGCGACCACCAAGAGCGACGCGATCGTCCTGCGTCGAGTCCGTCTCGGAAGTCGTTGCCGCTTGATTTGACCTCGAGATCGCTAGCCACAGCGATTTACTCTGGCGGATCAATATTTGTCGAGCCTTCCCCGCTATCAAAGAGACTGCCACGTCAAGGCAGCTTCAGCGCTGGAGGAGTCCGCAGGAAACTATGTGCCCCAAAGCGAGTTCAACGGGCCAACACGGAGAAACTACCTCCTACCCAACCATTATCTATGAGATCAACCGAGACACCTGAAAACTCCGTGCCGTTAGACGTTGAGCCTGTCGGACCAGAGGCCTCGTTAATCGCAGACAACCCAACAACTACAGCCCGTTCAGTTAAAGATGCAGAACTAAGCGACGAAGACGAAGATGAAGGAGAAGAAGTACCGGCCGAAGAGGAGGTTGAGAAAGGAAAGAAGGAGAACGACGAGGAGGAAGACGATGAAGAATCGTATGAAGACGACTTCGATACTACTGGAGATGACGAGAACGAAGACAAAGCCATGCCAAGCCGCAATGATAACGACACAATTGCGTCGGACGGAGAGTTATTCAACATGTTACACGATATTTCGGCTCAAGACCTTGGTAGTGCTTCATCTAGTTCAATACAATCTTCGACGCCAAGAGAAATCGAAGCAGCCACAACGATTCAGCGTCATATTCGAGGGACATTAGCTCAGCAAGCATATCCTCGACCTGCATCATGCGATGCCAAAACACAAGCGTCAGAAAAGAAAACCCCACGAGCGACTTCAAATGGAAAAACTGCAAAGAGAGACAGTCGCATTGAAGAAGCTAAGAGGAAGCAGATCCCATTATCAGCACGAGCTCATCGCCAACTTCAGAGTCAAGGCAGTACTAGGCGTGACAAGTACTCAAGGAATGAGAGTATTCCTCGAACAGCAAGCCGAATGAGACCTGCGACAGCAATGTCTTCTCCGCTTATCACACCGATCAAGACGAAGGTCCCAAGTGCAAGGAATAGCGTTCGGCATCCTAGTCTAGCGACCGACAGCCAGCGCTTAAGCCCCAGCAGATCCTTGCAGTCTGTAGGGCATTCATCACTCAAGCTCTTCTCGTCGAACAGCTTGCACGACATTGGAGCTGGCAGCACAGAAGTCGCGAAGGAACCTCCCGACCCCGAAGCATTGAAGCAGATCCAGACACTGTACGCTGAAGGTCTGCAGCACCAGAAGGAGAACCACCTCGGCCTCGCCATCGAGTGCTACGAGAAGGCGTTGGCCATTCCGGGGGGACAGACCTTCGCCTCGATCCACGTGAATATCGGATCGGCCTTGATGGCGAAGAGCAAGTTTTCCGAGGCGCTGGAGTTTTTCCAGCAGGCAAAGCGCTTCCAGCCCAACAACGTCAAGGCCATCTACAACTATTCGCTGGCGCTGCTGCACCTGGACCGACCGCAAGAAGCGCAGCGACTGGTGAGTCTGGGTGGATATGGGGGGGGCTGTCCCTGAAAACTGTCGAAACATACTAACTGATTGTTGTGTTTGGTGCAGCTACGCCGCATTCTCGAGCTCGACCCGACCCACGAGAAGGCTTCCATCGCGCTATCCCAAATCCAAGGCGCCGTATGATCCCCAGCGACTCAGTCAAGAAACAACGTGTCAGCACTAGGATAGAGAACAAGTTGGATGGATAACCGTCAACAAGACTGTACAAATACTGCTACAACAGTACGTGTACTAGGAGGAACGAGGTTCACGACACGTAACAGTATATTTACATGCAACCGGACAGGCGGGCGAGAGCTTCGCTTTGGCAATGCAGCGCTCACTGAGTGAGTGAACTAGTTTGTAAACTAACATCAGCCCCTTTCTTCCGGGTTTCATTAAAGTGTGGCAACCAGACCCAACAAGGGTCTCAGCTAGCCTATACTACTTCCAGCGTCCGCCGCGAGTGCTCGTCGGGGCTGCTGCTCTCCGTGCTGCTGGCGTAGTCCTCCTGCAGCTTCTGCGGCGTCGACACGCGGAACACGAACGACTGCGCCACGATGTCGTGCTGGCGCGGGCTGCTGAGGCTGATGGGCATGGCGATCGAGTACTTGACAAAATTGCCGAACTTCTCGTGCTTGGACACGAGGTAGATGCCCAGCGCCACGAGGAGAATGGCCACGGGGAACATGATCCACTGCGTGCGGGTGAAGTTGTGCGCCTGCTGGAAGAAGACCACGCCGCTGATGTTGCTCATGGTGATCCAGAAGCCCTGGAACACGGGGTACGACGACATGGTGTCGCCGCTCATGGTGGCCAGGTTCAAAGTGTGGGTCTGTGTCAGCAGCGTACCCGCCATGCCCGCGCACAGCACGTACGTGCCGAAGTACTGGAACTGGTTGTCGCCCGAGACGGTGGACGAAATAAGCTCCACGACGCACTTGGCCAGCAGCACCGACTGGCCTCCGATCGTCCCCGAGATGGCGGCCCAGTAGAGCGGCAGCTTGGGGTCAATGATGAGCGTGTGCTTCTCGATCTCGCTCTCGTCGTACTTGCCGATCTTGAGGCTCGACAGCTCGATCTCCTCCAGGTGGTCGTCCTCCTCGCCGGGCAGGCGCTTGCCCATGGGGGACAGCGAAAGGTGGTCGCCAAAAATGGGGGACGGGAAGGGCGACATCATGGCGCCCTTCTTGCCGCTGGGCTCGTCCAGCGCGGGGGACGCCTCCGAGTTCTTCTGCTCCTGCTCCTTCTTGTTCTTGGCCGCGATCTCGCGCTTCTTCTCCTGCACGTCGTCCACGCGCGCGTCGTCCTTGTCCGTGCTGGCCACGCGCAGCGCCGGCGCCTTGGAGCGGCGCGCGCGCATGTACAGCGTCATGGTGAAGGCCGTCGTGATGAGCGCGTAGAGGATGAAGGGCGCGGCCTCCATGAGCTGGTAGATCTGGTCCATCTGGTAGTGGCCCTCGTCCTCCTCGCTGGCGGCAGCGAGCACCACGACGCCCAGCGACACGAGCGCGACGCCCATGATGTCAGTCAGGTACAGGCTCTGCTTGAGCCAGAAGTGCGACATGAGGCAGTTGCCCAGGATCGTGGAGCCGCCGCCGAGCGACGCCACCAGCGTCTGCGGCGCGAAGCCCAGCGCCAAAAAGTCGCCGAGCGACGCGCCCACGACGCAGATCATGCCGACCCACCAGATCGGCCGCAGGTGGTACGGGCGCTGCACGGCGCGCAGCTCCTCCTTGTCGTGCGAGTACTTCTGCAGGTTCACGCCGAAGATGGACAGGAACGCCGACACCACGGCGATCGCGCCGCCGATGAAGTCGCTGCGCATGGCGTCGTCAGAGTGATGGTCGCTTTCCTTCCTCCTCCTCTTCGGGCGCTTTTTCTCGACTAGATTGGGCCCTCGGGCGTACAAATGGCGGCGGGTCTCGAAGGGACGAGGTCGGTGGCGAGAGTACACAAGTCGGCACGGACCTAGCGAGGTCGGAAAAACGGGTCACCTGGATTGAGCAACTGAGGCATAGTTGGGGACGGCGGAGGTTGCTGGATAAGGACTCGGTCTGGCTATAACCCCCCGCATCAGTTGCATGATGGCATAGAATCCAGCCGCCAGGTTCAACCACTCCGCGGATGGCTCCAGCACGTGCACGCCGAGGACTTTTCCGCTTGTGGATGCATGCGGCTCGGGCTCGTCGTCTCCGTGGAAGAGCATTGACGGACGGTTTTGGCCCGAGGACGACGACGACGTCGCGACGACCCTCGCGCGGCTCGAAAGAGAGCACGGCGACGGAGAGCACGACGGAGATGTGTACGTGTGTGTACACGCGTAAGTTATCATTCGTTGCTCGCCGCCGAGCTGAATTCAAGCCCGATGATGGCTCGGGAAACTCGCACCCGCGCACTTCGTCGTCGCGCTTCGAGTCAGCGCTGGACCAGCTCACCACGCCAGTGCAGAGCTCTTGGTCGGATTCACAGCAATTGGGTAGAAAAGGACGAAACGCCCATTTAAGCGCCCAATTCGGCATGAAGTCTTACGTTGTTTTCACTGTCCAAACAAATACTAAGTAATGCTCACTTGCAGAGATTGGATCACGTCAAGTACGTTTGATAAAGTTGCTCCGCGTATCTCTATCTACAGCACTGCAGCCAAACGTTAGACAGAATCCTCGTCAGCGCCAGTATAACCGTATGAGCTACTGAAGAAAAAGGCAGACAAAAGATGCAATGGTTTCGTGGGCTAGTAAACAGCCTTGATCGTTTTTCCAGTTAGTCGATAACGCCAGTAACTTCCTTGCTGAAATTTAAGGACCCATATGAAAGTCCCAAAACTACCCATTTTTATCAAAAATAGCCCGAGCCCTTCAGATTCAGACCAGCTGCGCGCCGGCCGGTGGCAGCAGTCAACAGGAGTCGCACCAGCACCGCCTCCGTCTCGGCCAATCATGTGCGTACACCGCACTCTTCCCGAATCACCATTGGCAGAAACTGGACGTAGCCAAACCTGTGTAAAGCACACCACAAAACCCACTTATTGCGGACCGTCGCCTGACATGGGTGCACTCATCAGGGGTCGGCAGAAGGGCGAAGGGTGCTTGGCACGCATTTCTGGCGGCGAACGGATGCAGTCTGTATGGCAGCCAAGCTGGCGATGACCTGAATGAGCGAGCGCTACGTGGATCGCCTCGCCTTGTTAATGCTCGCGGTCGCCGGTCGCATTTCGGTGCAGGCGACGGCGCCATCCGCGTGATCGCGCTCCGGCTCACGACGGCGCGGCGTGGTTGTTGAAGTCAGGCTGACGTTGCTGTGCAGATAAGGAGCACCCGCGATCGGCAGCCCAGCCTGCCGTGCAGCTGAGTGATTACCTCGCCAGTCGGGGGCTTGCCGGTTGCTGCAATCTGGCTGTCGCACCTGGTCGGCGCCAAAATCCGACGGGCGCCTCGGACGTTTACCAGCAGCAGCCAGTCCTGTGTCTACAGTGTATCCACGTCGCGCTGCCGAAGCAATCTACATGTACACAAAATTTCCAGGGAACTCGGGTGTTTTGTTGGCCTGTGCACCGGCCCCAGCACTCAATCGGAAGATTCATTGATATTGTTACAGTGTTTGTCTGGGGGTCAAGATTATCTTTCACTTGAAGTCTACGACCAGTTACCGAAGCATCCGCTCCAGTGCGCGGTCTGCACTTTCGTGCTCCGCACAGAGCTCTTCGATGTCTGCAGGCGTAAAGACTCGATCGGAGTCCTCCAGCGTTTCGAGGCGGCTGCGCTGCTCAGCCGTGAGTGTGGTCAAGAAGTAGTAGGAGATCATGTTCCCCATCTGCTCCGTGGACATGTAGTCGAGGTGGAGCTTCTTGCTGATGCGACCAGGACGGACGAGCGCAGGGTCCAGCATCTCCGGGTGGTTGGTCGTCATGATGACAATCCGCCCGGGGCAGTCGATGACTCCGTCCAGGACGTTCAGGACGCCCGCGAGGTTGAGCTTGTCCGTCGAGTTGGAGGACGACACGAAGCCGCCCTTCAGCTTCGGGCCGAAGCCTTCAAACTCCATTTGCGACTGCAGCAGCACAGACAGGAAGCCATCGTCCTCCTCTTCGTCGTCATCGCCATGCAAGTTCATCATACCGGGGTGAAGGAAGCGCTGAGCTGCCTTGCGGTGGCAATTGGGCGACAGTCGTGCTCCACCGACGTTGTCTGCCACCTCAGCCTCGACACGAGGCGAAGAAGCAGCCTCACCTCCCGACACCGGAGTGGTCGGGCCGTCCTCGCGGCTGGCCACGACCGAAGACGCGCAGTCGATGTCCTCCATCACGAAGACGACGTCCTTGAACCCCATGCGAACAGGCAGATCCAGCCCGTCCACGGCGTAGCGCAAGTCGAACATGGCGTCCATGAGCTCCTGGTTGGTCTTGATCTTGCCCAGCGGGATGTTGACGATGTGGCGGCGAGTCTTCTCGGCCACAGCCTTGATCACGCTGGTCTTGCCCGTGCCCGGAGGACCGTAAAGCAGCAGCCCGACCTTGTTCGGGAACCCCTCGATGGCAAACTTGCCAGTTTTGTTAGCAAAGTGGTCGAGCAACTGCAGCAGCGACTCCTTCTCGTCGAAGAAGACGTTGTCGAAGGTCTTGTCGTTGCCCAGGGCGTAGCGCTTGTGGTACGGAGCGCTGAGCTTGCTCTCGTCGTCCGTGTCGGTCGCAGCGGGACGCTCGGAGGAGCGCACGTACATGTAGCGGGCAGTGTCGCTCTTGAACTTCTTGTTCTCGAGGTCGCGGTAGAAGGCGAACGCCTTCTCCACAAAGGCGTCGATTCGCTCGGGCCCGTCCGGCAGCTTGGAGCGCAGGTGGAAGAGCGTCTTGGTCTCTTGGACGGTCGTTTTCTCGTCGTCATTCTTCTCCGTCTCGTTCAAGAACTCCACGCCCTCTGCAACGGCCACCCACTGGTTAAGGGGAGGGAGCACACTCACCGCCAGCTTGGCGACCTCGGGCGATGCAGGCTGGTCCAGCAGCGCCTTCAGTCGCTTCTGCTTCTCCAGGTCAAGATGACCGAACTCCGTCTCCACCAGCAGCTTCTTGGCGTTCGGGCGCTCCAGCAGATCGTACCGTCCGGACTTGTCGTGCAGATCCAGGTGCTCGGTCAGGTACAGCAGGATGGCCTTCTGCAGCAGCTCGTTGCCCTTGGAGCCGTCGTCCGGACGGTACGTCCGATAGCCCCCGGACACCTCCTTGGTCTCTATGACGTGCTTGACGTACTTGCGCGGGAAGAAGAGGCAGCAGAGCAGCTCGAGCGCCACCTCGAAGAACCGCAGCGCGTCGTAGCCAGAGCTGGCGATCCGCTGGACCACGGCGGGCACCACCATGCAGACCACGAGGTCGTACACGGCGTGGCCCGTGCGCAGCGTGTTGATGACCCCGAACTCGAGCGCCGTGGACGTCGACATACTCGCTCGTTGTGAGACTTGAAGGCGCTTGAGGGGTTCGTGGCACTTTAGGAAGTGATTGGATCGGGGAGACTGCAACAATGAGACCATCACTCACCACTAGTCGGTCACTTCAAGTTGAGGCATACAATTGCCAAGCTAACGACGGCTGGTGAGACTGTCCAGCAGATGATTTGCATCAATGGGTTCACTTGACCGGGTGATACCTTTGTGAGTGAAGATCTTGACCACGTACGTACAAAGCTCGACTACCGCTAACATCCACTTCACAATTCAATTTGCCAATCCGTCCCTCAGTATCGCGATGGATCCTGCTGCGGCCTTCCCGTCCATCGTCCAAGCGCTGGTCAACCCGCTCTTCGAGGCTGCTTCCAACAGCACAGAGGACTTTGGAGAGCATCACGACGTTGCGTCGGGTCTCCACGTCTTCCTCAACTCCCTCCTGCTCACGTTGGTGCCCCTCTGTGTGCAGCTGGTGCTCTACCCTTCACACCTCGAGGCGCTGGGGCTGAAGCTGAAGGACGCTCTGGTTGGAGGCAAAACCAGCGACGTTGTCCTCCGAGAGATCAAGGCCGTGACGCGCTACGACAAGTACTACGTGCTGGACCAGTACGAGAACCGTCTCGGCCACATCCTGCAGAAGGCCATCGCTGCTCACCTCGCGGACGTGCTCCAGCTGCGCGGCAAGGGCGTCCGCTACGAGATGGTGCAGCGCGAGCTGGACGACGAGACGCAAGAGGAGCTCAACATGGCCCCCAAGCGAGCGTCCGACGACTACTGGACTGACGTCGAGGACGACGCCGAGATGTACGAGGAGCTCAACCGTATGAAGATTGCGTCGCTCCCGAAGTTCCAGACGTGGGTCGAGGTGGAGAAGGGCATCTTCTTCCAGCAGTACATCCAGCAGCCTAACGGGGAAGATACTGGCCGAGACGCTGTCGTTAAGGACACCAAAGAAGTCACGATGGTGTACGTCTTCAAGTCCTCGGAGCGTGGCGCGTCCGCGAGAATCGACAAGTTCATCAGCGATGCCTTCGCCAAGTACCAGCTGCTGGAGCTCACGAAGCTGGCGAACGACAGCAAGCGCTACATGTACGTGCAGACCGTGCAGGAAGCAGCAGCAAAGTCGTCCAAGACAGAAGAGGACGGTGAGAAGTCCACTGCCTCCGCTGCGGTCTACAAGCGATACGCCCTGAGCGGAGAGAAGTCGTTCAAGAACCTCTTCTTCGACGAGAAGCCGCAGCTGCTCCAGCTGCTCGACAGCTTCATGACTCGCTCCGGCAAGTTCGCCATCAAGGGCTTCCCGTACAAACTCGGTTTGTTGCTGCATGGACCTCCTGGCACCGGCAAGACCAGTCTCATCAAGGCGGTGGCGCAGTACACTAAGCGCCACATCGTGACCATTTCCTTGGGCAAAGTCAAGACGAACCAGGAGCTGATGGACGCTCTGTTCGACCTCCGCTTCGCCGTGGAAGGCGTGGACCTGCCGGTCAACATGTCGTTCGAAGACGTCGTGTTCGTCATGGAGGACATCGACTGCGCCGCGTCCGTGGTGATGGCTCGCGAGAACAAGCCCGAGACCTCGCGACGACAACGCAAGCGGCTGTCCTCGTCCTCTTCGGCGTCCGACAAGCTGAACCTGTCGGGACTGCTGAACGTGCTGGACGGAGTGATCGACTGTCCTGGCCGCATTGTTATCATGACCACCAACCACCCGGAGAAGCTGGACCCCGCGCTCATCAGACCCGGACGCGTCAACAAGAAGCTCATGCTCGGGTACATGAACAGCGACCAAGTCCAGAACATGATCGAGTATTACTTTGCGACGACGTGCTCTCCGGAGCAACGCGAGAAGCTTCAAAGAGTTATGGACAGCGCTATGCCTGTCACTCCTGCGGCTATAGAGGCCTTGTGCTCCGAACACGACGATGTCGATGCAGTGCTAGAAGCATTTCGTCAGGTGCACCAAGTTTTGCCACCCTGTACCATAGCAGCATAAATTACTCCAAAAAATGCCATATCCATAGATACGATGGTTGATTCCTTGAGTGCTGTGTCGTATGGAGGGAGGGGGGGCGCCGCTACTAGCGGGGGCGAGATATACGCCGAAGACAAACACGCGTAGCTTCAGAAGTGTATCACACATTACAAGATCCACAGCCGTACCGTGCTGGTCTGCCCTATATCAACTCAATCAACCGAACAGGACGCGGCGCATGAGGTCGGCAAACTGCGACCCTGACGCCTCGTCCTCGCCCTTGATCGTGGCCCGCAGCGTGCTGTTGGCCTTCTCGACGAGCGTCTCGGACATGAAATAGCGGCCCTGCGTGTCCTGCGCGTAGAAGAAGAACTTGTACTGCGGGCCCACGTCGCCCGAGGCCATGGTCACGATGCCGCGCGACGCGAACGCCTGCTCTAGCTCGCTCAGCGGGGGCAGCGTCGGCAGCTGAACCACTACCTCAGCCACCACAGGTCGGCTGCCCCACTGGCCCTGGAACGTCGGAGCATCCATGACGGGGTTCGGGACCAGGGCGAAGGCGGGGCCGGCCGCCTGAGGCGGAGGGTTGCTAGGTGCCGAGCCGAAGTCCATGTCCAGCAGGTCCATACTGGGAGCTGCCGGCTGCGGGGGCGGCGCAGATTGGCGCTGCTGTTGCTGTTGCTGCGGTGGCTGCTGAGGAGCTCCGTTGTTGTATTTGTCGCCCTCGTCGTCCTCCTCTTCGTCCTCCTCATCATCGAGAGGCGCAGCAGGTCCAGCCAGATGCGAAGGAGACACGAACAGCTCGCTGGGCTTGTTGTACACCACCGCGAGCGAGTTGAACTCCTGGAACAGCTTCTCCTGCAGATCCGTCTCGATGGACTCGGCGAACACGCTGACCGTCTCCTCCGTGCGGAACTGCGCCACGATAGCGGCCGCCTGGTCCGTTGGCTGCTGCTCGAGCAGGCGGTAATACAGCAGTGCACGGTCACGCACATCCTGGTGGTTGGACTCGTTGATAGCCGATCCAAGCAGGCGGCCCAGCATGCTCTGCACCTCGGGCGGGCGCTTGAAGAACAGCTTCATCGTCGCGGCCAGCAGCTCAAGCAGCACTGACGGAGCCGCCTCGTCGCTGAAATCGTCGATGAGCTTCTCCAGCACGTACGGCGCGCGACGCAGATCCTGGCCGAACTCTCCCAGCATCCACACAACCGCAGCCTTGGCAGCGGGCTGCTCCACGGCAGCAATAATGCGGGCCAGCACGGGAAGAACGTCGTGACGCTTCTCGGGGTACTTGCGCAGCAGGTCCTTCATCACAACGAGACTCTCGTCACGCACGTAGTCCAGGTCCAGCTCCAGGAAGTCCACCATCGTGTCCATGATGTGGTCCTGCATCTGCTCCACAAGCTGCTCCGCGGCCTGCTGGCCGTACGCCTCAGGGACGTTGCCGCCGCCCGGGTACTGCTGCGGAACCGTGTTCTCCGAAAGGTTGGGGCTCACGGCGATGTCGGCAATGGCGCGGATCGCGCGACGAGCCAGCTCCTGGTCCACGTCCGTGACGTACTCGCTCAGCTCCGTCACAATGTCGGCGACGTTGGCGCCATCGGCGACCAAAGCCATCACATCGATCTTGACGTACTTGACGTGCGTGGGCTCATTGTAGCGGTTGTAGAACTGGCGGTAGTCGCGGCTGAAGACGTGCGGCTTCTTGCCCACGAGCAGCAAGATGTGGTGCAGCACGCAGTAGTTGATTTCATGGCTGCCTCCGGCCATCAGCGTGAGCAGCGGCTGACGCATGCGCTCGAACACTTGGTCCTGGATCTGCTCCATGCCGCGCGTCTGCGTGAGGTTGAAGAAGCACTTGGCTGTGCCCAGCACCACGGCGCTGTTGGACACGCGCAGGCACTGCTCGAGCGTGTTCATGATCGTGAAGACCTCGTCGGGGCCCGTGGGCTTGTACTTGGCCACGATCTCGAGGATGTTGCACTGGCCCCACTCGTTGAAGTCCGTGATGCGGCTCAGCAGGTGCATCACAATGGGCTGGTTGATGGCGATGCCTCCCTCGTCGGCCATGATCTCGTTCAGCGCCACGAGGCAGTTGGAGACCACCTGCGGGTCGCGGTCGCGGATCATGTTGTACAGCGTGTCGATCATGTCGCTCTCCTTGATGATCTCCGGGTTGAGCGAGTAGACCTTGAGGATGCCGATGACGCCCGTCTTGCGCACGTACGCGCTCGTGTCCGTGAGCGAGGCCTGCAGCGGGTCGTGGATGTACTCGAGGATCGAGTCGAGCCGCAGCGAGCAGAGCGAGCGCAGCGCCAGGCCGCGCACCATCGGGTCCTCGTTGCGGCAGTCGTTGAGCAGCGTGTTGATGCACATGATGGCCAGCTCCGAGTTCTTCTGCGCGTAGTTGGTCAGGTACAGGTACACCATCTTCTTCGAGATGAGGTCCTTGGTGTCCACGCACAGCACCATCTCGCTGAAGAGCCGCGACACGTCGATGCCCAGCGTCATGTACGCGATCACCTTCTTGATGATCTCGCGCTTGCGCTTCACGTCCTTCTCCACGGTCACCTCGCGCAGCAGCTGCAGCAGCAGTGGAATGGATACATAGTATTAGATTAGAGATACCATGGATATAAACTATGAGGGTCTCTGTTTTTCAGGCTGCCACGCACGTTCTTGAGCTCGTTGACCTCGCCCTTCTTCTTGTCCGTGAAGTAGCTGGGGTTGCTGCCGCCCGCCGGACGCTGCGCGCCTGGGGCGCCACCGGGTCCTGGGGGCGCCATGCCTCCGGGAGGAGGACCCTGCGACGGGTAGGATGGGTTCATGCTGCCCATGGACGGGAACATGCTGGAGCTGCTAGGGGCGAGGAGCTTGACCGGGACAACAGCGACTATGGGCGGGGCTACGCGGCGGATCCTCCACACCGACGAGGGCACGATTTGAGCAGCATACTGAAAGCAAGGTAATTTTTACTGTCGAGATGGCTACATATGTTGTCCACATAAATTTGTGTTTGCCACATTCCATAAACTTGGATACACTTTCCTTCCCGACATCAAACATGGCGGGCGCGGCGCCGACGCTGGCGGCGCTGTTGAAGGCGCTGCGACGTGCTGAGACAGCCGCCGCAGCCTCCAGCGCCATGGAGCAGGCTGTGGACCGTCTCATCGCCAGCGCGTCGCTCTCCGAGTCGCAACACCTCGTGCTCGGTGCGTGTAATGATCTGCTACTGTATACGCTGCTGATGTGTATACTGACTGAGTGTATACTTCACCACGTTACAGGGATGCAAGACTGCACCAGGGACCATCACTCTGCCCCGTTCACTGAAAGTTTGTATACCAAGCTTCAACAAGCGGCCGCAATTTGTCCCGAGCCTTCCGGCAAGGCGCAATACCTCGGCTTCGTGCTGCTGCAGGCGGGCGTCCACCTCCTGGAGACGCTTGAGGTGTCCACCCAGCGTCAAGTGCTGCTGAAGGTGTTTAACGCCAACAACGGCGTGCTGTCCGGCTACGTGGCGGCGCTCACAGCTTCAGATGGACCCTTTTTGAGTTCTCACGTGGAGTACAGTCGCGTCAAGAAGACACTTGAAATAGTATCACCTGTCCTCAAATGTGTCCTCATGGACACGAAGCAGTCCGAAGGACACAAGACCGCTGTGCTGGATGCACTGAGTCGCATCGCCTGGCACTTTGATGGACAGTCTGAGGACTACGAAGCCGTGATGACAGCCGTGGTCCACGCCCTCGTGCAGGCGCTGGAGCTCGTGCCCCACTCGCAGCTTCCTCAAGCGTCCTACGCGGTCCACGTCGGGTTGACAGTCGATCTGCTGAGCTCTCTGACTGCGCACAACAAGGAACAGGTGGCGCTGGCCAAGCGAACGGCGAAGTTTGTGCTCGAGTCGACGCAGGTTTTGATCGGAAAGGGCGAGGGCGTGCTGGCTCTGCTGCAGTCGCTGGAACAACTGGCTCAAGCTGTGCCCGAGGCGCTCTGGTGCTCGGTGTTTCTTACGTCCAGCGCGTATTTCCTGTTGGACAAGTGCGAGACGCCAGTGGAGCAGCGACTGATGCTGCGGGTGCTCTCTCACACGTTGGAGTTTGGACGCGACGCTGTGTCTGGTGAGCGTGATGTCTACGTGGAGATTCTTTTGCTGCCACTTTCGTCAATGATTTCGCTGCATGGCAGCGCTGTGTCGGACCTGCTCAAGTTGGTGATGGAGATCAAGTCGTCGAGTAAGTACCGTGCTCAGAAGGAGATTGAACAGGACTATGCCCCAACGGAGACTTCGGCCCACGCACGTTCGGCTGTGCGGCTAATGAGCGACGAAGGAGGGTGTCAGCGCTGGTTAAACTCCCTGTTCCAGTCGGAGGGTGCGGCATCTTCCGACTCCACGAACAACTCAACAGACAAATGGTTAGCTCTTCTTTTGGTGGCTCTGCTCTCTGACGAACGGTCTACTCTTCGTGGCAGCGCGGCTAAATGCCTGGAACGGCAAGTCAACAGCAGCCCGAAGTTTTGGGGCGCCGACTCGACGAAGGCGCTAGTAGCGAGTCTTGTCTTCCTCGTGTCGCAGCATCCTTTAGGAAATGGCAAGACAGCGTCAACACGAGCTTTCGGTGAGTGGATGGCTTCGTGTTTGTACTCGCTGGCGGCGCTGGCTGCCACTACGACAGACACGATGCGAATTGTCCTTCGTCTGATCGATAGCATGAACGGAACTGCGAAAATGCGGTCGATGGCGCTCAAACTCATGTACGAAGTGTGGCGGAACGAGTCCCGAGTGTTTCCTCGACTGGAGACAATGCTGCTCGAGTCCACTGACCCCGAGGATGACGTAGAGCGCCATGTGATCAAGATGGCGACCATCAAAACGCTTTGCGAAAAGGACCCCGAGCTCGGCGTGCAGTTCATTTCGTCCATTCAAGGGTTCGTGGAAGACCAGCTGGAGTCGGTTGTTTCCATGGCGATGGACGCTATCACGGTGTTGTGTGGAGGAGATTGTTTGGACTTTTACGTAGCGTTCAAGATTATTGCTCAAAAGATGCGCAAGAACAAGGTGACCTGTTCTGATGGACCCCTCTTCCAAGAGCGCCTGTGCTGCTTCTACGCACTTGGCGGTGCTGAGAGCGCAGCTAATGAAAAACACGCGTCGAAGCTGCTTGACCAGGCCTGGGAGTTCGCGGACAGCGAGTACCCCAACGTGCGTAAAGCTGCTTATGCGGCATTGTGCAAGTTCCCTCTCGATATGCTGGGACTGAGCATGCCAGCGGATGGCCAAGATAGCGACAATGAAGATCGAGTGACGGAGGAAGAGGTCGAGGAGCAACTCGATGACATGCTCCAACGTCTTCAAAACGAACACGATTCCTCTGTTCGCGTCGAGATTGAAAATCTCGTGGCAAAGGTTATCGAGCATGAGAGCGCGAAGCTAACTGCTGGGGTTGGACGAGGACAGCGGATGGCATCGGCTGCAGCAGGGCAGCAAACCTCGCAGCAAACAGGACCAGTTGTTTCAGCTGCTGCCACCAAGGAGATGAAGGCGCTATTGCCGTCAAGAACGGAGGTGCAAGCCCCGACTACTAGCGATTGGAGTGGCTTCTTGTTAGCTTATCAACCAAATGCGGTGATTGATGCGAAGAACGTCAAGCGGAAGGACAAACTTGTCCGCTTGGCCACGCAAAACGTGGACGAGTTGGTAGAAACTGTCTCAACTGTATTGCAGTCGATGGAGCTCCCGTGGACATCACCTGGAGTATCAGCGGATGAAAGATGCAGTACATTCTTGCGCATTCAAGCCTTGATGGAAGGGTGGAGAGGCTTTATGGCAACGTTTGCATTGTCGTTGGATGAGCTGGCGGATCTTAAGACTCCGGTTGGTGTCGATGACGCCGATGTTGCGTTCCGTGTGTTCTCGGAAGGCGTGGCCGATTTGATGAATTCACTTCTAAACGATAACCCAAACAAAATTGGAGGCGCATTGGCCGCCGGCGCGCTTGCTGGACGGTTGTGTGAATCGAGGCACTGGCAGAACCCCCAATTGCGCACGAAGTACGAAGAAGCGGTGGGGGAGCTGTCTCGTCGACTGGCATTGTCAATGGAGCAGGCCCGAGTGTTTTCCGGTGACGACAGTGATGCTCGCGTGTCGTCTATTGGTTCTTTGATAGCGCTCCAGCTCTCGTTTGGCCGGCGGAAGGTTGATGCGAGTGAGAGGAGCAAGAACTTCTGCCTTCAGCTGGAAAAGATCGAAGAAATGTTTATGGAGTTGTATCGAAACACCTCTGACCAGCTCTTGGGTTCCTGTGCTCTGTTGGGACTTAGTCACATTGCTGCAATTTACACGAATGGAGACGAGCTGGAGACCTTCGAGGTGATTCGATGGAGGCAGCAGCGAGTAAAGCCGATCGCCGACGGTCTTCTCATGTCGTTCCTACTCACTGACCAGGCGAAGCAAGCAATGTCTTCGTCATCCTGTGCTACCATAGTGTTCCCTCTTGACGATAAAAACGGACCAGACTCCTCCATCGAGAAGGTTGCTGCCGAGTATGACCAAGGTGGCTCAAGTGATGCCATTTTGCTGCGATGGGTGTCATTGGTGGGGTTATCGCGCTTGGCGAGTGGGTTCTCAAGCATCAGGCGCTTGGACTGGCTGACTAATCTACAAAAGGCTCTTGCAGCTGTGTGGGAAGTAGACAGCTCCGCCAGCACGATAGCTGTCGCGCTTGGACCGGTGCTACTGGAATGTGTGCACTATAATTTGGCTCCCTCGTCCAGCCTGGAAATTTTTGCTGCCTGTTGCATTGAGCGCGCTGCCGCTTTTGCCGCAGATAGCCTTGACAAGGGGTTGCTAATGATGGCAGCTGCTCATGTACTGTGCCATTTCGAATCTCTTGGGGGCTTTCCTGACACTATTCAGAACCAAACCAAGCTGGTTGTCGAGGCGATTCAAAGAACGCTTGAAGGTGAGAGCGGGCAAGATCACGCGGTACGCGCGTTGATGGTATCTGGCATCGCAAACTTCTTCCACCTGACGTTTGGCATTTCTGGAGCATTGGCCTCGGTGAAGCAAAAACTGGATGCGAATGTGGAGCTTACGCTGGATTCCAACACGATCCGCACCCTAGTCAAGATGGCTCAAGGGGAGAAGGAGCGTGGCTGCGTTTACTCGAGCGCAGTACTTGGAGCTATCGCGCGTGCAGCCGATGGGTTCTACGTCTCGCAAAAGAAGAAATCGTTCGACGTTGAGGTCCGCTCTGTTCCAACTAACACGATGCTGTCGAAGACGCTCGAGTGGCTTCGGCAAACGAATCCATCGGTTGGCTCGTCGAACACCGACACTATCACAGACAACCAGATAGCAGAATCCCTGCTGAGTTGTCTGACAGCGACGGGGTCTGTGCTTCCGCTGCTCGACTATTCGTCTTTTACGCATCGCGTGATGCTGCGGTTCTGCTCTGCTAGCACCAGCGTTGCGTCCATTCGATTCGCTGCTACCCAAGGAAGTTGCGATGAGCTTTTGACGAGCGAGTTGCTGTCAGGCACGTGGTTTGCGAATGCTGACAGTACCCTCCAGGCCGAACTGATCGCGTCGCTGTCCCTAGCAGCTAATCGTCTCCCCACTGACGTTCTCCGGGCTCTTTTGATGAATCTCTTTGACATTCTCAAAGACATTTGGCGCCGCGATACGTCGAGCAGCACTAGCGTCTTGCTCTTCGACAGCTGGACGGGTATGCTGCGTGATGTGTTGACCTCCTCTCGTCGTATCCCAGAGGCCTCACTGGACATGGTGAACCAGGTTATTCGCGAGAAAGTGGTCGCGGAACTTCCGTACGGCCTGCATGATGCGCTTTACGTCGAGCAGTTCGCAACGCGCGTTCTATCAAAGCTGGACTACGGCGAGCGCAACATTGCAGACACTTTTTTTATGCCGTCTGTGTCAAACTCGACGTGGAGTTGGTGGAGAAACGGCGTGTTCACTGTCGAGCTGGCGAAGCTAGGCGTCCTGACCATTTCGAAACGCGAGGCGTCTTTGGCCTTCCAGTGGATTTTGCGTCATGACTTTGAAGAATGGACGGACGACAACCTCGTGGACACTTACCTGCAGCCGCTTATCGCTCGGATCGGCGCTCTTATCGCTCAACACACGCGGCCGGGAGAAAATGTTTCTGCGCTTCTGGATGTCGTCGACGCGTTCAGCCGAGGTATGTCGTCCCTCAACTTCTCTATCCGCTCGGACTTCTTCAAGCGCCGCGTCCTATTTGACGCGATGGCGTGCGTTATGTCGTGGAATTCGTCGTTGAGTCATGAACGGTATCTGATGGACATCCCACGAGCTGAGATCGCAAAGATGGACACGGCAAGCGACTTGCTTCCGTTTGGATTGATAGCGTCGGCTCACAGCGCGAAGACGGTCTCGGCCATTGGTGAACGACTGCTGGCACTGCAGCAGCAGTTGGCCAATCTGACTGCGAACGAGGCGAGAGAGTATTCTGCGACCCTGGACGTGTGCAGTCGGCAGATGTACGTTGCAGCGGAGAGCTGGCATATCCCGAGCACGATGCCCGGAGAGATCCGAGAGTTTTGGAGCCTCAGCGACGCAAACTGAGGATCTATCGGAGTTCAATGAAAACAGGACTGCGTTCCTAACGCTTATGTTTCCACCAAGTTCCGCTTGAGGTTGAGTACGCCTTGTTGAGTCTGACGAGAGGCTTCTGGCATTGTCTTTACGTACTAGTATTGAGTGTTCTTACGCTACCTGGTTACTTTACTTCCTGCGTAGAAGACGTGCCATGAGGCTGCCGCCCGCGTTGCTGGGGCTGTTCGTGGGCGTGGTGAGGACGGGCTCGTCCGCGTCCTGCTGGCTCGCAAAGGCGTTGAAGATCTGCTCCAACGTGGTCTGCGAGACGCTGTACTCGCGGATGGACAGACGAGTCTTGGCGTTCTCCACCACCTCGAACACGTTGGACAAGCGCAGCGCCCGGTTGTGCGAGTCACCGGTGGACTGGTCCAGGATCTTGAACCAGCATGAATCATTCTGCCGCTCCAGCAGTTCAAACGCCCCGAAGCTCTGCTGCAAGAAGGCTGCCACGTTCTCGAACTGCGTCTCCGTGATCCACCACGCGGCGAAGCTGCTGGTCGAGACGTAGCCGTCGCGCTTGGCCAAGTTGGCGATCGCGTGTCCTGTCGGGTGCGTGTTTACGATCTTCTGGGCCCACGAGGCATTGCCGAATAGCTGACACGTCTCGGTGAGGTCGTCTTGGTCGATGCGGGTGCCGAGTGAGTCAAAGCGGCGTAGCACTAGCTCGGACACGGCCTCAGCGGAGGGCACCTGGAGCTTGGCGTCGAACATGAGGCCGTCACCGAAGCGGTTCTTCAAGTGCTGCACGCTGGCGAGGCACTTGAGCTCACCACCGACCATGATACCAACGCGAGTGCACAGCGCCTCGCACTCCTCCATGCTGTGCGTTGTCAGCACCACCGTTGATTCCTTGTTGTACGTCGAGATCTCCGAGATAACGTCCCACATGAAGCGTCTGGAAACCGGGTCCATGCCTGTGGATGGCTCGTCGAGAAACAGAATCTTGGGCGAGCCGATCATCGCGATGGCCACCGACAGTTTGCGCTTGTTACCGCCACTAAGGCTGCCGGCCAACTTGTCTTCGAATGCTGTCAGGTTGAGCTGCTCCATCTTCTCGGACACTACGAAGTCCAAGTCCGCGCTCGAGACGCCCTTGATTTTGGCGAACAGCTCCAGATGCTCGCGAACGGTGAGTAGGTCGATGAGTGCGTCGAACTGCGGGCAGTAGCCGATCTGGCGGCGAACCTCCACTTGCTGCGTCAAGATGTCGAAGCCGCTCAGTGTCGCGTTGCCGGATGTGGGTACGATATCCCCCGTCAGCATCTTCATCGTGGTCGTTTTGCCAGCGCCGTTGATGCCGAGAAAGCCAAAGCACTCGCCCTGCCTCAGTCCGAACGACAAGTCCTGCACCGCAACCTTCTGACCCTTTCGATAAACCTTACGGAGATTTTGTAGCTTGATGGTGTCGTTGTCCGCACCGCCCAGCATTACTCGGTCCACTTCAGCTCCAACATCCTCGTCAATTACTCGGTGCGCCACTGGGATATCGGGGTCTTTGGAGAGTGCAGACTTGATCTTGGGGAAATTCAGCGCGTAGTCGATGCCCACCGCAAGCGCGTAATACAGCGCCGCGTCGATGAGCAGATAGATGATCTCGTAACCGGTGTTTTCCAGCGCAAAGGGGTCTTTAGAGAGCTCGTTTTCGGCCTCAGCTCCTCCGGTGTGGGTAATCTCGATGACGGTCAAGTTGAGGAGGCCTCGACCAAGACAGAAGAGAGGGGACAAGCGCCAGATGAACTGGAGTGCCTTATCCGCGCTCTCGGTGCTGTCGATGACTTGCATCACGAAGGAGACGATCATGAGAGCGAGTCCCAGCACAAAGTTGATCAGAATCATGTACGTCTGGGAAGACGCCGGGTCCGTGAACAAGTACGACCAGCAGTACGCGTGAGGGCAAATGGCCAGCCCGAAGGCCAGCACCAGCACGATCACAGCGACAAACGTTGAGTCGCCGCAAGTGACACACGCACTTGAGCCCGTGAGCGCCGAGAGATCGTAAGCCTGGATGAGCGCCAGCGCAATGACCCCAGGAATGAGAAACACGACGAAGTCCCAAATGTAATTTGCAGTCCAGAACGAGTTGATGCCGACGCCCGACACGAGTTGCTGGTGCTTGGAATTGTGGTCGGGGGATCTCTCTCGAACCAGCATGACGACGATAGAAGCTGGGTAGTACGCAAACGCGATCATAATGAACAGCACCGCCGTGAATGAAATGTACGCCGAAAACAGCGCGGTGTTCTCAGCAGTCAACGGGAGCGGGTGGTTGTTCACTGTCAAGCTGAGATCCGATGCCCCAATTGATGAATCGTGTTGCGTGGCCATCAACCGGTACAGTGACTGATCCATGAGCTCCTTGAACACGACTGAACCATGTGTCAGCGTCGTGTTGATCAGCACGTTGTAGCCGAATACGTTGTTGTCCACGTCCGCATGAACTAGGTACCCACCAAACTGGTCCGAGATATGATCCGTGAAGGCCCGGGTGAAAATCTTCTCGCTCACTCTCAACTGGTATCCTGTCGCGTCAGTCGCATTGATGGAGGGACTGTCGTACAGGACGTTGAAGACGGTGGGCGAGTCGCTCGAGTAGGGTGGACTACCGATGTCGTCCTGGCTGAGAGTCACAATAGACGCACCGGAGAAGTAGTCACTGCCCAACGCGGTCTCGCACCAGCTACCAGAGCTTTGCTCGCAGAAAGACGGTAGCAGTATACTTCTAGCGTCGTCTTCCAGACCATTCAGCTTCAACGCCATGAAAGGATCGTTGTTTGTGAGACCTGCACCCTTCAGAATCGACAGCCCAAAGATCAGCCACGCCACCGGCAGAAGCAGTCCCACCACGAACAGCTTCTTGTCCCTCTTCGCCATTCGGAAACGCTTCTGGACCATCGCCACCATTTGGGTCAAGAACACAGATCGGGAACGCCCCAGCGGCAACGAACTGCCTGTGCGGTCCAACCCGTGGTAGTGCCCATCAGTCGGTTTGTCGCCAACGATTGGAATGCTGTCCTGGGCGTTCAGCGTATGCTGTTTGACTCGATTCTGCAGCGTGTGCTGTTGGTCTTCGTCTGATGCTTCTGCTACCTTGACGAAAACCTCCTCCATAGTCGTGACTGAGATGCCATACGACAAGACTTGGAGATTGTGGAGATTCTCGTCAAGCTCGCGGAACATGGCTGGGAATTGGGACGAACTATCCAAAGGCAGCTGGAACGCGATTTCGGTGCCCACGTTGCTGAGCACGCGACTCGAAGGAATATATCGCGAGACAAAGTCGATTACGTTGGCGTCGTTGCAGTGCTCCGCCTTCACGATCGTCAGGTTATAGCCCACCCCAAACTGGTTCTTGAGGTACAGCGCCGACCCACAGCATCGGAGCTCACCCTCAGCCATGATGGCGATGCGATCGCCCAGGATATCTGCTTCGTCCATGAAGTGCGTCGTCAGCACCATCACGCGGCTCTGTCGGTTGCCCATCAGGATTTCCCACGTACTGCGTCGCGAGTACGGGTCCATACCTGACGTTGGTTCATCCAGAAACACGAGAGAGCTGTCTCCAAGAAGCGAAATAGCCACCGACAACTTACGTTTCATGCCTCCGGACAACGCACTACTGACCGTGTCTCGCTTGTCCACAAGACCGACCTCGCGAATTTTGGCTGCGACCTCGTCCGCTAGTGCTTCACCCATATACCCTTTGATGCGAGCGTAGAATTCAAGATGATCTTGGACGGACAGTTCCGGATAAAGGACATCGTGCTGGAAGCAAATACCAAGAGATTCACGGATCTCGTCCATGTCTTCGCGGAACGAGAGCCCGTGAAAGGTAGCATCCCCTGCCGTCGGAGGTGTTACGCCCGTGAGCATGGAAATCAACGTCGTCTTGCCAGCGCCGTTGTGTCCAAGCAAACACGTGATCTGGCCTGAGTACATGTTGATATGCAACCCCTTGACAGCTTCCTTCTCGCCACCAGGTACGGGGAATACTTTACGAAGACCTTGCACAGAGAGCGCCTCACCCGAAGTTTCTTGGTCCCTCAGGTCTGTGCTCACCGGCTCAATGTTGGGATTCAAATCCACCTGAACGGCGGATCCATTCTCAGTCGCCTGAGTCGACGTGACGAACTTCCTGGTCTTCCTCCAGTACGAAGGGCGAAGTGGGAAGTACCATTTCTCCGGCATGCCGTACTCCTTGGGGATTACCTTTTCGAAGTACAGCCCCAGCAGCGTGTACAATATCGTGTCGAGTGCGAAGTACCAGAGCGCCGTCGAGAAGCGGAAGTTGTCGATACGCTGCGACGCGGTTGCGAACGAAATCCCCACGTGTGATGTCTCTGAAGACGCGAGCGAGTTGATGCCGAAGACGAGTCCGACCGGGGCCAGCAGACACGCGATGTTCTTGGACGATTCCGACGATGAATCGTTGAAAGCTCCCGTCACGCCGTACATGATGAAGAACGCGATGAAGCCGACGTACACGCCCGTGCGCGATTTCGAGAACATCGAGCTGACCATGAAGGCGAAGCCCAACACGCTCAAGCTGAACAGGAAAAAGAACAGGAACAGCAGCACCACATTCGTGTTCGGAAACAGCTTGGCGACGGCCGCTAAGGCCTGCAGCACGCAACTCACGAACAAAATCACGATGTACGTGATGTACCACGAGATCACAATACTGGACTCCTTGACGCCGAGAATCTTCATGAGCTCTCGTGACCTCGTTTCCCGCTCGGACATCAACCCAACGAGAATCTTCGACAACGGGTGCAAGTACGTGAGGATGAAGAAGATGGGGAAGGCGTTCGTGACGGCATCGTAGAAAGAGGAGGAGTCGAAGGAGTCGATAGGGAACGGCGTGGTTAGCGACCCGAGGTACGGCTGTGGCGTCTGGCGAAGCGGGGTCAGCAGGGCGTCACGAGTAGTACCGTCCAGCTGCAACTCGGCGGCGTCGCTGCTGAGAGGGGACGATTCGCTGAACAATTGGCTGAATAAACCACCAGCAAACTTCGTCGCGGGGTCATTGACCACGGTCTCTAGCAGGCGCAGATCCAGACCATCCGAGGACAGCGCGGTAGACGCGTTCACTTGGCAAGCACCCGTGGTGCTCTTGGTGCTGGCATCCCAGTCGGGTAGGCAGTTGACAAAGCGCGTGACGAGCGTCTGTAGCGTCATGAAGCCATTCGTCGTGTACTGCTGATACTCAGTGGTTTCGAGCTTGCGATCGAAGGAACCCCAGGTCGACGCGCCGTCGCTACCAACAGTTCTCGGGATATATCGATTATCCTCGCTGTCGCCGACATAAGTCGAGTTCAGGCGCAGCGTATACTCGATAGAAGCGGGCTGACCGATGGCACTGGCGTCGGTCGGGTAAGTGATGAACACGATGGCGCCGAAGATGCGCGGCTGAGCTGCGGTCTTGGCGTAGTCCGACGACTTGACGTATTCTTCCAGGGCATCCTCCGTATCGAAAAACACAGTGCTATCCTCGAACGACGGGATCACAAGCTGCGACGCGTTGGATGAGTCATTGATGACGATAGTCGGGTACCATTGCTTCATCGTCTCGAAGAAGTAGTTCCGCGTGAAGTCGTCGTCCGGCGCAATGGCGAATTTGAACGGCGATACGCGACCTTCACACTCTGCTGGAAGAGCGTAAGGTGACGACGAGTTGAGACTGACTCGACCTCCAAGTGCCAGCTCGCGCTCGCAGATCGTGCGGTTCTCGGAAGTGAACGTCTTCATGAGGCGCCCGTAGTCGAACGACATGTAGGCCAGGTGCAGCATCAGTCCTGATAGCGTGGTCTCGGGCGTGGCGAACATGGGCGTCGTGCTCGGCCCCACGAGCGACCAGCCGCCTGGGCTGAAGAGGTTGTACGACGTCGGGCCCAGAGTGAACCCGGAGGGCACGGTCTTGTCAGTGCTCGTGGTGCGCACGAGATCCATGACGACGATGAAGAGCACGGGCGTGAGCACCTCGAAGAAGAGCGCGACGGGGTGCTTGCGCTTCAGCAGCCAGTTCTTGCGCAGCAGCGTGGGCACAAAGCGCAGGTTGGAGCGTTTGGCCGGTGCCGGTGGCGAAGCAGGCGCATTGACCGTCAGAGGTTGGTCCATGGCTGAGAGTAGAACGGAAGTATCCAAACTTTTTTGTTGTATGGCTTTGAGGTGCTAGTGCGCGGTGGAAGGAAAATTGAAGAATGAGAGCCGTCTTTAGCGAAGAGGTTCATTGTTGTACCCACTACCAGTAGTCAGTCAACCAGCATTCTGTCATTTGATACGTAAATGCTGCAGCACCGCGCGTTTTGCTGGAGGCAAAGACGTTTAACGTTGTGGGTGTAGTGTCATACTCCTTTTGACGCGTATTGCCGCGCAGTCCTGAGCGTAACGAAGTGAGCCTGGATATTTTACCGGATCGGAGGCGTTGCGGTGTTCGGGCGGTGCTGCTGATGATTGCACGGGGTAATCGGCTGAAGTTGCCGCGAGGTCGAGAGTACTGCTTGAGTTGAGCCGGGAGTGCGATGATCACTACCCGCGGTGGGGTATTAATGCTTCCGCCGCGACTAGCTCAGGATGATTCGTTCCTGGTGGGTAAGCTTAAGTCCAGATCGAGTCGATGAGCAGATGATGAAGGCACAAGGACCTTGTCGAGGTGGTCCTAGTAGGAGAGGCAATCGCAATATTAAGTCGAGGGGGATGTCGACTCGAGACGTCTCCCGCCATGTAGAAATCATGTCGAGCACACCTTGGACCGAGGGACTGCAATGTGGATGAAGTGCAGCAGTGGATACTTCCGTTGTCCACCGGCGCTTCAGTTGTCGAGTGAATCCTGTATCTGGCCACTGCCTGTTGACTCGCAATTGTAATCGTTGCAGCTACAAGTCCATCGTAGTGTACCAATCCCCCCCCCCTCCCGAAGTACACGTCCGAGAATCTGTCGACCTCCCTACGGCAGAGCTTCGGAGCAGTTGAACTGCTGGAGCGACAGCACGACTCGTGCTGGTTCAGGATCCTTCATCAGTCTACCGGTGACTCGCACAACTCGGCGCTGCGCTTGTCCAACGTGTTCGAAGTGGTGGAGAACGCCAAGACTCGTCTGTCCATCCGCGAGTACAGCGTCTCGCAGACCACGTTGGAACAGATCTTCAACGCATTTGCGAGCCAGCAGGACGCGGACGAGCCCGTTCTCACCACGCCAACGAACAGCCCCAGCAATGCAGGCAGCGCCGACCTCGGCTTCGTGTCGCGCCTCCTACGTAGAGGGTGAAGCAGTCAGATAGCCTAAGAACACTTCCATACATGTACACATGCTCGTTAGTCCGCTCGTTGCGCACTGAAGACGTTGCCGTTGCCAGAGTGATGGTCACAACTTCAACTGAGCAGCGATTGGCTGGTAGCGTCAAGATCTTATTCTGACCAATGGCAAGCGCTCGCGCCAAAAGCTCACTTCCAGCAGCGATGTTGCCGCTGCTCCGCAGACCTCATCTTGCCCTCCGAGCCACAACCTCCTTCGCCGCCATGTCGACCAAGCGCAGCCGCTCCGCCCCCGTGCTCCGCGTGAAGAAGCTCACGCCCGAGGCCATCCTGCCGACGCGCGGCTCGAGTCTGGCCGCGGGCCTGGACCTGTCGGCCGCCTACGACGCCGTGATCCCGGCGGGTGGCAAGGGCCTCGTCAAGACAGACCTGGTCATCGCCGTGCCCGACGGCTGCTACGCGCGCGTGGCGCCTCGCTCCGGCCTCGCGCTCAAGAAGTTCATCGACACGGGCGCCGGCGTGATCGACGCCGACTACCGCGGCAACGTGGGCGTGATCCTGTTCAACCACGCGGCCGAGGACTTCCCCGTCAAGCGCGGCGACCGCGTGGCGCAGCTCATCCTCGAGAAGATCGAGTACCCGGAGATCCAGGAGGTGGACGAGATCGAGGACACGGCGCGCGGCGCCGGCGGCTTCGGCAGCACGGGCGTGGACCTGCCCATTGCCAAGAAGCAGCACGTGGCGAGCAACGGCGTCGAGGAGAGCGACGACGAGTTCGACGTGGCCTTCAAAGCGCTCGAGCTGCTGTCGCAGAAGAAGGTGGTGGACGACAAGACGCGCGCGCAGCTCAAGAAGAAGCTCTTCACGGCCTCCGAGCGCCAGTTCAAGCTGCTGAACAAGGCGCTGGACGACTACCTTGGTGACGAGGACAGCGCCAAGGCGCTGGAGTGGATCAACGCCTTCCTCGAGTCCAACTAAGGTGGCTGCTTGTAACGCTGCTGCAGCGTACTTCTAGAGGTTAGAGGACGGCATCACCGTCGTTCGTACTTTGCCATTGATTTCAATTGATAGAAAAATAAATATATTCACGTAATATGGCCAGACCCCTCACGGTACAACTTACTGCGTTCATGATCATGCTGGAAAAAAAATTTGAAAAATGCTACAACCGGGAATTCATTGGCGGAAATGCTTCAAGCAGTTCGTCCAGCGATAGCCGATCTGCCGGATGCTCCGCGAGAGTGCCTTCCACTAGCCGAGTGTACTTCTCGTCCAACTTATCCGCCTTGATCTCGTCCACGATCTCCTCCACTGGAACAACGACACAAAAGTTTAGCGTTCTGTATCCTCAGACTAAAAGGAGCGGGTTTTGCATACCTGGACGTGTGGCCACTCGCGGCTCAGGATTACCGGTTAGCATCGCGAGAGCAAGAGCACCGAGGGACCAGATGTCCGCCTTAGCATCGTAGCTAACCACTTCGCCCAAGAAATACCGCCGTACTTCTGGAGCCATGAATGCCAGAGTACCGGCGGCGTGGTGCGTGAGCAAGTCGCTTTCCAAGTATGTCGACACGCCAAAATCTGCGATTTTCGTCGTGCCTTCGCTCTGTAGTTGCAACACATGAACTGGTTAGTGCTTTGGGGACGATAAGTATACAGCCAACTTTACAGAGGCGCTCACCGTCAACAATACATTGCCTGGCTTTAAGTCTCGGTGAACAATTCCATGGCGGTGAATTTCCTTCAGTCCAAGACACAACTGGCGGAACATCGAGTCGAATTCGTCGCCCTCCAGCCGGCCCTACACCCAAAAAAGAACAATTACTTTAGACGACATTGACGTTGCATGCAGGTACATGTTAACCCACCTTTGTCTCCAACACCCCCCGCAAATCGCCACCATCGCAGAACTCCATTTCAATGTACGCAAAGTGCCGGTGCCCGATTTCCTCGATGAAATATTGCTGGATCTGCACCACGTGCGGGCTGCGTACACGGGATAAAATGCTGATCTCATTGGCAGCCTCTGGCAGCTTGTCACTTTCCTTTAGAACTGTCAGCTCTCCCTTGCGGTTCTCCACGAGCATCACCTCAGCGAAGTTACCAATGCCCAAGGTACGGACAAAACTAAACTTCAGCAATTTGGATGGAGGTTGCAGGCCCTGCACACGCTTGGCCCATCTCTCGGGCCCCTTAGCCAGCGATACTTCAGATTTGGCAGTCTGCTTTGACAATTCTGCAACCCCTTCTACGAGCAGTTGGTCTTCTTCGTCAGGTATAACTTCGGCCACCAGCTTCTTGGCTTCATCAATGGCATCCTGTTTCTTTTGTCGTGATTTGTCAAGGCTCTTTTTGGTAGGAACGAATCGACCAGCGATAAAGGATAATGCAGCAAGCACACCGCCCTGTTTCCATGCACCCTTCAGTGACGGGGACTTTTCCTCCGCCGGCGTTTCCACCTGCGTCTCCAGCTCCGAGACCGTCCGAGCCGAGAACGGTTCCATGCGTAAAATATAATTTGTAAACACCACAGCTTCAACAGCCACCATGTCATTACAGCGCGCACACTCCAAGAAGCACGTTCGCTTGTGCTCCACATGCTTGATCGTGCGTGACGCCACACACTTGGCGCACACAGGGTGTCCACAGCAAAGTTGTACCCGAGGGGACTGCCGTAGCCTGAAGCAGCGGCTGCAGTCGTACAGATTCGACACGTTTGGTGCGATCTCGTACGTCACCGCCGCAGATGAAAGCCCCGGGGCCTGGAACGTTGGCGGTGGCTGCTGTCTAGCTGCCTCCGGCACATAGCCCAGCAGGGGCCTGGATGGCAGCCCACGACTCAGGAACGGCACGTGGTCCAGTGGATGGCCGCCAATTTTAACGGCCGAGTAGACCAGCACCTCTGGCTTCGGGGCCGCGTAGGCGGGTGATGTCCTGGCCTGCGACGTCGGCGTACTCAACGCCGCCGAAGAACCTGTAAAAGCCGCGCCTAGAGCCCCCACAGCGCCCCACACGGCGGTCTTTAAAGGACCGTGCAGCTGGTGCTGCCAGTCCGAGTCAAACGGGTGCTTGTGGTCCATCGCGTGGCCGCCGATCTTCGTCTCCGCGTAGCCGCCCACGCGCTCGCTCTGCGGGTCGTACGAGTGCAGGTTCACGTAGCGGGCGGACGAGCGGAACTTGCCCGGGCCGCAGTCCAGCGCCAGCGCGCGGTCGGTCGGAAGAGGCGCGGCCAGCTGCTGCTCCGCCTCGGCCAGCTCCAGCCCCGTCGGCACGTCGTCGTCGATCTCCACCTCGTCGACATCTTCTTCTTCCTCGTCGCCCTCGCGCACCACGGGGGCGCCCTTGTCTCGCTGCACGAGCCGCTGCATCCGTCGCCCTTGGCCTGCCTTCCTGCGGTCCCGCTGTGCAGCCTTTCGCTGTCTTTTTTAGTGTTGACGTGAAACTTTGAAGGTTTTTGTAGGTTGCAACTAGGAAGAATCCATACCCTTGACCCTAATGTAGACTAGCTGGGATTGGTCGATAGGGAAGTACCGCCCGACCTAGAGAAATTTCCGCGCATCCCTGCTTCTTTTCAAGATCAACTTGTCAAGGTGACGTCGTCGGGGATGACGTCGCCCGAGGTACCGCTACCTATACTATAGAGGGCGAAAATATCTGCGGCGCCCACCGCGAAGGAAGAAGCTCGAGGCGCCAAATCCCTGCCGCGGTGCACAAGCTGTTTCGCCGGGCGGGCCGCGGCTCGAATCCCCCCCTGGACGTGCCCGCTGTCCCGGGGCAACACATCCCGCTTGGCCGACCGTCCCAGCAGCGCCAGCACTGCTTGCAGCAGTGGACGGTCGTGAGAGCTCGGGCGATCTTGCGGTCCAGTGCGCAAGATGGCTGCCCGGAATCAGGCCGCCGACTCAGGCGTTGTGCAATCGGAGCGCTGCCATTGGCTGAGAGAGCGTCGTGTGTGCCACTCTAGCCGCGCCTAAGTACGGCCAGATGTCTCAGTATACGTAGGGAATCGGGGAAGATATCGCGGCCACTCCGAAAACCACCACCGAGGGACGGCGCGCGCACGAGGGACCATCACTCTGGATGGGGCGGAATCTCAAGGGCAAGGGGGCCAAGGCGGGCGTGGCCGCGCAGCAGAAGCGGCGCAAGAAGTCGGCGCTGGGCGCGGGCGGCAGCAGCCCGGCGCTGTCGGCCTCGTCCTCCTCGGGGGGCACGTCCACGCCCGGCCACCGCGAGTGCGAGCAGTGCGGCAACAGCATGCTGCTGGAGGGCGTGGCCAAGGCCTGGCCCGTGGGCAAGAAGAGCGTGGCGTCCACGGGCTGCCAGATCTGCGACTTCGTGGCCTTCCGGCGCGCGCAGCGGCCCTGCGTGCAGTGCGCGCGCACGGGCTGCGACCACTTCTGCGAGTGGTGCGGCAAGGGCTTCCACGCCAAGTGCGCCAAGCTGCGCAACGAGGACGTGGGCAACCCCAACGGCTTCTGCTGCCACAAGTGCGAGTCCGAGCAGAGCGAGGGCCACGACACGGACGAGGACGAGGCCAAGGCGGACGAGAGCGACGAGGAGGACGTCGGCTCGCGCTGCGGCAGCTGCCGCCTGCCGTTCTCCACGACGGCCAAGGAGCCAGAGGTGTCCACGGGCTTTAAGGTCAACCAGGCGGTGCTCGTGGACAACGACGAGGTGCTGTATAACGCACTGATCACCGAGGTGGACACCAAGGGCGAGCGCATTAAGATCCACTTCACGCGCTGGAGCAAGTCGTTCGACGACTGGTACGCGATGGACGACGAGCACATTAACGAGAGTCTGGCGTGCGACTGCTGCAACAATTGGTTCCATATCGGCTGTCTGCCGCCGATTAAGAGCTCCGGAAGGTGGAAAGACTCGACGTACGTGTGTCCGAGGTGTATTGACGACGCGCGCGCCTTCCACAACGGCAACCGGTCGGTTCTAAAGGCGAAGGCGGCGTATATCTCGACGAGCAACGCGATTGCGAAGGCTGCGAAGAAGGTGACGTCACCGAAAGAGAGCGAAACGGCTGCGGAGGCGGTTGCGAAGACTAAGAAGCTCAGCAAGGCGGTTGTGGTCATGGACGACGATGACGAAGACATGGAGGAGAAGAAGGAGGACAACGACGACGAAGACATGGAGGAGAAGAAGGAGGACAACGACGACGACGAGGGGGAGCCCGACAGGGAAGTCGAGGTCAAGATCGCGAAGGCACCGGCGAAAAAGAAGCGAAAACTGTCAGAAGTGGGCGATTCCCCTGCGAATGCGCGTGCGAAAGAGACTGCGAATGAAAAGATGGAAGATAGCGGGGGGAATGCTCAATCCGAGTCGAATTGCGCGAAGCCTGCGCCAGCGAAAAGATCAAGCCCTGCTGCGTCCCCCTCTAAAGCTGATTCACCAGCGTCAGAAGCGAAAACGACCGATGCTGCGAAGACTAGCCCGACTGCGACCACCACAAAGGAAAAGGCAAATGCTGGCGTCAAAGCGGATGAATCTACGACGCCGGATGCGAAGGCTGCTGCGATGATGCACGCGTCTCCAGAGCACACTGTCAAGGCGGCTACCGAGGCACACAGCTCTCCGTCCAAAGCTACCACTGCCAAGATTGGCTCAACTAACAAAACGGGTTCAGAGGCGAAGGCTGAAAAGCAGAAGTCGACGGCATCTGCCTCGTCTTCTTCGGACAACTCGAATCGGCATTCATCGTGCAATACCGTTATGTCGCTTTTGAACAGTCCGCCGACGAATGAGGCACAATCCTCGTCATTTAAGCCGACGGTGACTTCGCTTCCAATGCTGAACCCCGCCAAAGATAAAGCCACGTCTTCGTCAAAGCCGTCGATGGCAATGCCGGCCAACTTCCAGGTGTACGTGAAGATGGAGCAGAAGAATGGGCGTTTCCCGCTGTGCCCGCGTCCGATGCCGAATGTGAAGTCCGTGCAGGCGGTCCGAAAGGAAGTGTCCACCGCTCCCAAGTCGTCGAAGCCGACGGCCGCCCGAAAATCGAAGCAGGGCCAACCTGGTGCAGCGGGACGCGGTCTTAGCGCGTTTGATATCCTGCGTGAAGTGGCGTCACAGGAGATCGACGAGGGCGCTGCGCCAGTGAAGCCGAAGCGCGAGAAGCGTACGTCGACCAGCCGAACAAGCAGCACAAGCGCGAACAAGCGTGCCAAGATTGATGTATCCACGAGCTCGTCGAATGCAAGCGCCTCGCCGGGGTGCGCAACGTCCGCAGGTGCGCCCAGCCACCCTGTTGCTGCAGATACCACCCATTCGTCCCAGACCCGCGAGCGTATCCAGATGAACTCCTTCGTGGACCTGCACTTCAGTATCCGCAAGGAAATGTATCTGCGCTTCTGTCGGCTAGAGGAAGAGGGGATGCTGACGCGAGACTCGGCGCATCTGCTGCGCTCGCTCATCTACCCGACATCGGAGCGATTCCAAGATCTCAAGTTCGTTTACCTGGTGAACAAGGACCTGCCATCGGTACAACTCACAAAACGGCTGCTGGAAGCGGTGCCGTACCCCCCAGCGGTGGCAAAGCCCATTGCTACCACCGTTCCTCACGCTCCCCCTGCTGCGGCTATTCGATCTCCGCTGGGTGGGAAGGGTATTGCAGGACTCCCCATGACTATGGGGATGTTTTCAGCTGGATTGGGGAGAAACTCGTCGCCTGCAAGCACACCGCGGATGGGATTGCTGCCCCCTCCTCCAGGATCGACGCTGCTGAGACCGGAACCTCCGCGACCAGATGAATCCTCAAGACTTGCGTCTGGAAGTGGCAGTGCTCCACAGTCTCAGCCTCAGCCTCAAGCCCAGCCTGTGTCTCAACCCCAGCCGCAGCCACAGCCTCAGCCGCAGCGTTCTGTCCCAGTACCCGCGCCGGCGACCACCGCGAAGCGGCCTGAAATGCTGCTGATGGAGCAGCTCGCGCCGACGCACCGCCCTGTAACTAGCCAGCCCCAGCAGCAGCCGCAACAGCAGCAGCAGCGACTATTGAATTCAAGGTAACAGGCATGTCAGATAGTAAGTAAGTAAGCCTGTAGCAACATTGTAGTATAAGAGGGCAGCGATCACGGCACTTGTATTTAACCGTCGCCAATCTGCACCACCCCCGAATACGAAGAAGACCCCTTTCAACTTTGAGCAGCGTTGAAGGCTTCAAACGGCGCCGGATTTGTTGCAACGCGAAGCATCGCCGAAGGTTGCAATGATTCCCGATCTTCAACATCGTGTACGGATACACAAACTGAAGCAAGATGGATACGTTGAAGCGGACGTGTAAATGATTCATTGATGCTCGTTAACGTCCTGGCATCCAAGGTAGAACAAAGCCTGGGGGAATCAACAGCAAAACTAAATTCGTTTCCTGGCCGCCCGCCTCCTGCCCAGCCTACATGAGGCGGCGGCGTCCAAACCCCAACAACATCTGCATGCCGAAAGGCATATCGTCTTCACCCCGAGGTCTGGTACGACCGACTCTCGGACTGAAAGTCCAAGCGTAGCGTTCCTCAAAGTCGACGTGCTGGCGCAGCCACTGCACGACGCCCTTGTGGCCACTCTGTACAGCTGCGCGAATGATCCGCTGCGTGCCCGTAAAGCGTTCTCGATCCCCCTTGAAAAGCTGCTTCATGACGTCAAGCTTACCATCGCGTGCAGCAGAGGCGACTGCAGCCAGCCGATTGCTCTCCGTTTGAACCGCCAACACCTCCGAGTAGCCGTATTTACCGACCAAAGTCGCCACCAAATCGGCGTCGAGCTTGTCAAATTGCCAAGGAGCCACCGCATACAAACCTGATTTTGGTTCTGAGCGGCAAGACGCACCGCCTTGGGCGTGTTGAGACTGGGGCTCCGCTTTACGACGCACTGAATCAATTCGAGGCTGGCTTTGGCTTGAGCTGCGTCGAACGCATTGATACATTGTGGAGAGTGCAGTGTGTTCTCGACAATCCCGGGCATCGATTCTCCACAGTCGTAAAACCACTTTATCACGCGGGGACACGGACGCATTGACGAAGCCATGTCGGCAATCATCGCGAGTTGAAACTTGGGAATGCGTGAAGCTTCATACGGTTGGGTGCTGGTTAAAACTTCCTAAAACCGAACTAAACTGTCCTAATTTTCCTAAAAATATTAACTTGACTTTAGTAGGCACATTTCCCAGTTAATAGTCGGTACTCGGGACCAGTCTTCCTGGAAGAACAGTCTCAGCAACATGGCCGGAAATTCTAAGGGGGCGGACACTCGCCCGTTGGCTCTCACCTGCGGACTTAGCGACGGCACTTCGGGGGGCCCACCCCTCTCTCGCTTCGCTCGGGGAGCGCCGCTGCGCGGCCTGCCCCACCCCCTCGTGCCTTACGCTAAGTCCTCGGCTCGGCCAGGTGCGGTGTCTAGAAAAAAATATCGGGTTGCAGCGCTCGCGTCCGCTCGCTCGCGCAGACACTCCCCCGCCTGATCGGCGGGTGTTGGCTATCGGTGAATGCATCGAGTTAGCCTCGCGCTCGCATCCGCTCGCCCTCGTCCGAATAAATTACCGGTACTTTTACTTAATTAGGTTAATATACGTTAGGACAATTAGAGCACTTTTAGAACACTTTTTATGAACGTTTTCGCTGCTACCATATCGCGACGGTTCCGACATCCCTACATTTTCCGACAAATAGGACTCTTACTTAAAGTATTGACCAAATTTAGGTTCTCTCCAAAATACAACTGCGGTGAAGATGGTAAAGTAAGTGACGGTGTCGAATGGAAGCACATGCGGCTAATACTACATGTAGTAGAAGATATCAAAGAGTACAAGGATAGCTACATATATTACTGCAGTTCACCTTCTAAGATGCTATCTCGGCAATCTTGCCGGTTGTTGCAGCACGCGTAGTCTAACGCTACTCCTGTTCGTCTCATTCGACTTCACCAGCCTCGAACGGGCCCACCAGCGAGGTCATGACGGGCCGTTGCCCTTCGCGGGGCACGTTCACGACCGCGGTGGCCTTGGCCTCCATCTCGTCCGGGGCAGCGACGCGCATGGAGGACCCAGCAGGGGTCCGCCCATTTCACCTGCGCTGGTGGACTCCTCGCTGGATGAGCCTGACAGACCGACGCCCCGCTTTTGAGCTTGCCGACGTGGAGCCCTGCGACCACGTGCACCCGTCCACCTTCTTGTCCTTGGGCTTGGTCGGCTCGCCGCCGATCTTATTCATGGTCACGAGGGTCATCTTGCTGACGATCTTGGGGGGCATGGTGCACGACGTGCTGCCGCACGAACAGTAGAGCTGGCCGACGTCTCGGAAGTAGCAGCCCTCGACGGAGACGGAGCCCGGGACGTTGTGCGCCGGCCGGCGACCTCGTCGTAGACCGCCACCAGCGCCGTTCACCTGCTGACCTTGTTGCCCTTGGTGCACGGCTCATCCTCGCTTCCCTCACCGGACAGCCTTCTCCAGCTCCTGCTCGCTCTTGATCATCTCGCCCGACACACCACTCTCGCCGATGCAATTGCCCTCGCGCACCACCACCTCATCGCTGCCCATCGTGAGCACGCACAACGTCTTCGCGTCGATGGGCAGCGCCCTGCAGTAGCACACGCTCGACGTGCTCCATCCAGCCCCGACCGGTGCGCCGCGCGAGACGTCATGCCCCGGGTCCGTCGGATGCGTGCGCGGAGGTGGCGGCACTGTGCAGGAACCGCGCTCCGCGCTCGCCGTCGTGGTCACGATCTCTGGCCGCCGCTGGGTCGCGTGTGGGGGCCTCCTTTCTTGAACATGGTCGCGATTCTTGCAATGAACACCAATCAAAACTCCAGTCCGTCTTATTCTAGGACACATCCTAGCTGTCAGAACGGCGAAAATATTTGCAAAATATTTTCTATACTTGACTTTTGTATAGCATGTATATATTTAGGCCAGCCTTCCGACAAATATTTGTCGGAAAGTGTCGGAATGCATTCACCTAGCCCTAACCGATGTCATTGGCTGAAATAGCGACTCCAGGCGATATGATAGGCTGTAATTCAGGTGGAGATCAGCCATAAGTTATCAGTCGGAAAGACCACTATATTCATCCATACGGTTGAGTCTTGTACAGCCATTTCAGCACCTCCACGTTGTCGTACTTGGCAGCAAGAACAAAAGCTTCCAGGGTGCACCCTTTGCGGCAATTCGCGTGTAGCCATTTTGCGATCTCCAAGTTTCCAGTGGCAGCAGCGTAGTCGATAGCATTGGCAGTGCAACCCTCGCTGCGGTTACTATGCAGCCACTTAAGTATTTCCAAGTGGTTGTTCGCTGCTGCTTGATCCATCGCCTCCGTGCTGCAACCTTCCGATCTGTTCTCATGCAGCCATTTCACCATGTCGAGGTGACCTGCTCCAGCCGCTTTGTCCATCAATTTAGCACTGCATTTTGCATCGGGGAGATTAGTGAGAAGCCACTTGAGCATTTCAAGATGTCCATCCGAGACCACACGCTCCACTGCGTATTCAGGGAAATCTTTCGACCAACCGTCCGTCCGGTTGTCTTTAAGGCATTGAGCAACAACCGCATGACCACCACGAATAGCCCCTTCCATTGCTGCAGTAGTGCAGCCTTCACTGCGGCTGGCATGAAGAAACTTCACCACGTCTAGATGACCGCTGGAGCCCCGTCCATTGCATTTGTAGTACATCCTTTCTTCCGGTTATTGTGCAGCCATTCCACCACTGCAAGATGGCCACTAGCAGCGGCCGTACAGCCATCTTGGCGATTCTCATGAAGCCACTGCATGACCGTTTTCCGCGGCGGAATCCAGGATACTGGGATTAAACTCTTGGTTTCCATGTTCACTCAGCCACTTAATCACTTCCAGGTGTCCATGTTCAGCAGCAAGTACGACACCAAACTCAGGGCAAGTTGCACCTTGATTGTGGAGCCATTTCAATATCTCGAGATGCCCACTCGAAGCTGCATACGCCGCAGCATCACCTTTGAAATCACTGCACAACGTCCAAATGACCATTCTTAGCAGCTTTTTCAATTGCTTTAGCTGAGACTTTAACTCCGCGATGTTCATGTAGCCATTTTGCGGTTTCCAGATGACCACCTTTTGCAGCCATGTCGAGGGTTCCTTCAAAGTCTGCTGTCCACGGGCCTTGGTCAAGCGGAAGCTGCGCCATCCACTGAAGTACATGAGTGAATCCACTCTTCGCCGCCTTCTTCACTGCACCACGCCAACAGATTGCGTCCTCGCGAGAGAAAAAAATACTGCAACGACTGCGCTGAGTCGCCGCGCTCGCAAGCCTTAACGAGAGCGCCATCGTGGGAGAACGAGTCGATGAAGCTGTCGATGCGGTTCGCAAGACGTGGCAGGAGGCTCGCGTGCTGGGAGAAGTACTTGCGGCAAACCACAGCTACCGCCGTAAGCACTGGTCGGGGCGGCAAATTCTGCATCGGAGCTGAGTGGCACGCTGCGAGTTCGAGAATGCCGGAGGTTTTTACTCATTTAACGCCTATGAAGAAAATTCCTCGTATAGTTCCTTGATCCTTTTACATCAATCACCGCATAAAAAACTTTCATTAAGTTATTATATAACGTGTTGTTATATAGTAGGCGACTAAAGTAAAAAAAAACTTAGTTTGATGGATAGATTTTGGGCCCCACCACCAGCAGGTTCAGCAAGTGGAGCTAGACGATATGCGTCCAATTTAAAAAAAATCTTAATCCGTACGCTGCCGCTTGCTAGGTCCAGCTTGTTCTTCTTCATCGGTCGAGCCAAAGCACCAAGTTCGGACGTCTGGCCTCTGAAGACGAGCTTTAATCCATTGGAAAACATACCTTGAAGCTTCAGTGATGGCGTTTCGGACGGCGATACGTGAGTTGACGTCCTTAAATTCAACATTCTCAAGCACCCACAGCACTTTGTTTAGGCTGCCTTCCTTCTCGTCCTCTCCAAGCACCTTACGCACAACCCACACGCAATCACTTTCAGGCACCCACTCCACGACTTCCAGACGATCAAAAGTCCTGAAAATGTCCCAGACTGCCTCGCGACCCAGGCGTGCCCCATTCTCGATCAGCCACCGCGTCACCACGACTCCGTTCAAACAAGCCGCATTCTCGAGGTCTTCAACTGTGTATGTGTTGCATCCATGAAGCCATAACCACCGAAGCGTCCGGATATTCCCTCGGGCCATGAGGATTCCTCGTACGTCTGGTACACTCACCTCAGCTCCTCTGTACACGATCGTCGTCGTCTCCGATTTGAATGTCCGCCTGTTCCAGAATCCCTGAGCCCATTGAGCATCTTCCGCGCGCACTTGGTATCCATGACAAAGCAGCCACTCGACAACTAGAACTTTTTCATTTATGAAAGCGTTCGTCGTCACTGGCGTCAAGTATTTCGGATGGGAGAACCAATTAGTCGTCGCTAGCATTTGCAATATCCCCAGGTGACCCCTACGAGCTGCACACGCTGCTGAATCCATGAGGTCGGGAATCGAAAACTGACTTGCGTAGACTTTGCACAGCCAGCGCACCACCAGCAGCACATTTAATGGCATCTCCTGTACAACCTTGAGTGCAATGGCTGTGCAACCAGCGGACAACGTCGAGATGGCCATTGGATGCTGCTCCATCCATTGCATCTGTGGTGCATCCTTCGTCGAGGTTGTCATGTAGCCATTCTATCACTGCTAGATGACCATTTTTCGCAGCGCCATCGATTGCTGCCTTGGTGCAGCCATTTTTGCGAGCATGTAGCCATTTTACTACGTCCAAATGCCCGTTGGTCGCAGCAGAATCCATAGCTCTCGGCGTGATGTAATACCCATTATTATTCAGCCATTTCAGAGCGTCCAACCTTCCACAACTTGCTGTTTCATCCGCCATTGTCTCCACCAGCTTCTGATCAAGGTACCCATAATGACCGTTGATCCACTTCATCACTTCGAAATGTCCATTGTAGGCTGCAGATACAAAAGCTTTCTGTGTGCACAATTTACCGTCCAGCCAGCTTCTTTTCACGTTTTCGTGTAGCCACTTGACCACCTCAAAATGCCCATTAGCGGCTGCATCGTCCATTGCATTGGTGTTACATTTGTGTCCTTTGCTGTGCAGCCACTTACCACTTCGAGGTGTCCATTGGCCGCAGCAACGTCGATTCCTCTGAAGCCACAACGATACTCACGTCCATACAGCCATTGCACCACTTCTAGGTGACCGTTTGCTGCAGCAAAGTCTACTGGGTCAAAGTTGCGATCTCGAACGCCTTGCTCCCACAGCCACTGAACCACAGATAGATGCCCATTTGCGGCAGCATCACTCAAAGCATCAGCAGACCCGAGCGCATCATACTGATAGAGCCACTTGACCACATCGAGATGTCCACAAGCTGCTGCTTCTAGTAGAACCCACGAAAAGTCAACTCTCCAAGGTCCCCGGCGGTCCTCACGCTTGGCCACCATCCACTGCAACACGCGGAGATGACCGCCTCGTGCAGCAGATTTGATCGCCTCGTTCCAATCCGGAGCCGATCGCCCAAGAAGATACTCGAGAGCGCGCACAGAAGCCCCTCGTCCACAGGCGGCATTGAAAGCTTTCTGTCCCGGAAAGTCATCGATGAATCCGTCGATAAGTTGCTCAACCTCCGGCAAAGATTCGTTGCGAGGGAAACACTCTCTAGACACAAGTCGAACCGCGGCGCGCAGCGGCAAGGCATCATCGCTCTCCATTGTTTCTTTCGAAAATGGCCTAATATCACTTTTCTCAAGATAAAACATCTTGCTTGATTGGAATAGACTTAGGCAAAATTTACCAGTAGAAATGCCACCAAATGTTTAATTTCGCACGAGGTCTCATTCAGCCTGAACCACTTGAACATGTAGTCTGGGGTGACGCCACTTGCTCATTCTGCAGCTTAGATGCAAGATGCTCCGTTGTTGGGTTCAGCTTGACTGTCTCGAGCATCTTCGCCACCGCTTCATCCCCGTAGCATATTGACCTCGTTTCCAAGGTGCTTCTTGTTGTACTCGTCGAGGAAGGCAGCCCACCACTGCAGGTTCGGGTTCTCCAGTAGTCCGTCGTCCAGCTTGAGCAGGCTGAACACGTCGTCTGGCGTCTGCTTCGTCTTGAGCCAGCCTCGTACTTCCGGGGAGATCTCGCTTCTATGAGTGAATGCCGAGAACGCATACTTCAGCTTGGAGAAGAGCGAGTTGTCGAGTGTTCGCTCTTCTTTGCGTCTCCACCTTCATATCTCAAGAGCATTCTACCACGGACATCGTTCGGGTTCTTGGTAGACGAGGTGAATGCACCCAAACTTGCCTTTACACCGGTCGGCACAGTAGCAATACAAAGCACCAGGACAAGAAGCAAAGCCGAGTATGTCTGCATGACTGTGTAGGTTGGCTGGAAAACTGTGAAATGAAGGTCCGAGCCCCTCCACACATCGCAAGGATTGTCCTTATGGGCTGGGAAACCAATCGATCTCTCAATGTTTACGTGGGGATTCCCCAGGGGAACTGGGAGCTCAGCACCGACTGTGAGTTGCGCTGGCGTCCATCCGTATCTGTATCTCTTTGGTACTTTTCTGTTCATGTTCGACGATACAAACGATTTCATCATGGTGTACCTATAACTGTATTATAGTACTATGTACTTAAGTAGTCTTGCAACGAAACAGAGGTTCGATACGCGGATACGTACAGTAGACTGCAGGCGTAAACAACTTTAAAATGAGGCTGAAAGCGTCGAAGTACTGCAAGCTGTGGTATTTTTTCATTGTGTCCGTATCCCGACGTAAAATTGATACGACATGAAATTGTTGGTGGTTGAGACGAGTCCTTTCATCCTCCTGTAATTTTTTTCTAGGCATGTCACAAAACAACAGTTACCGTAGTATTCCGTAGTGGTAAGGGGCAGTGGAATCGAGTTTGTCAGATACCCCTGGTAACGGGGTCACACTGCTACTAGTCGGACAAGTACTAAGGGTGAAGGAAACGCTGCCTATTATTTATCATAGTCTCGTCGCAGAAGTCAGCACTATTGAATAACGGTGTTTCCGATCCTGATAACATTAAATATGACTGAGATGTAAAACAACGTTGAGTCTTCTGAAGCGAATACTTGTGTAGCATCTAGGGGCGGGCGAGCTGGGGCCTTCTTCTGTATATATATAATATATATTATTATCCATGTGAAATGTTTTAAGAGCTTGAGCAATGTCGCTCTCTTTCTTTCATAAATAACGTATCACCCAATTTCCATGAATAAACGCCAGCACCCCAGTGTACCCAAAATACAGCCATCACTATCTAATGAAAAAGATCGCCTCATTTTTTTTATTTCAAAATACGAATTCCTTGAAGCGTCTCGAGGTTACAGCATCCTCTTATCGCGTGCGTTGTCGCTTGGTGGGTCCAACTTGTTCTTCGTCACCAAAACACCAGCTCCGGACCTCTGGAGTCTGAAGACGAGCTTCAATCCACTGCAGACTGTCATTTGAAGCTTGGTAGATGGCATTGCGGATGGCGATACGCGAGTCGGCGTCCTGAAATTTGTTATTTTCCAGCATCCACAAAACTTTCTCTAGCCCTTCTTCATCCTTTTTGAGCGCCTTACGCAAAACCCACACGCGGTCGCTTTCCGTCACCCACTCCAGGACTTCAAGATGATCAAAAGACCATAAATGGTCCCAAGTCGCTTCACGATCCGGTTGCGCTCCATTTTCAAGCAGCCACCGCGTAACGACTACTTTCGCATTCCAAGCAGCAGCCTGGAAATGGTCGGATGTGTATGATTGGCACCCGTGCCGCCACAGCCACCGAAGCATCCGGAGATCTCCTACTGCCACGATAATTCGTCGTACGTCTGGTACGCTCACTCGCGCTCCTTGGTAAATTATCTGCAATGTCTCCGACTTGCCTGTGCGCTTGTTCCAGGTCTCCTGGGCCCATTGAGTATCTTTCGCGCGCACTTGATATCCACGCCCTAGTAGCCACTCGACAACAGAAATTTTTCCAAACATGAAGGCATTCGCCATCACCGCCGTCAAATATTTCGGATGGGAGAACCAGCAATTCATCGCTAGCAGTTGCACTATCTTCAGGTAGCCCCCACAAGCAGCCAACGCTGCAGAATCCATGAGGTCGGGAATTAAAAACTCACTTCCGTAGACTTTGAGCAGCCATTCCACCACCTCCAAGTGCCCATTTCCCGCAGCCCATTTGATTGCATTTCCCGTACACCCTTGAGTGCGATAGTCATGTAGCCAGCAGACAACGTCGAGGTGGCCATTTACCGCAGCACCGTCCATTGCAGCTGTGGTGCATCCTTCAGTGCGATTATCATGCAGCCATTCTACAACCGCTAGGTGGCCATTCTTCGCAGCGCCATTCATGGCTTCCTGGGTGCAGCCCTTTTTGTAGACATTTTTGCGAGCATGTAGCCATTTCACTACTTCTAGATGGCCATGGGTAGCAGCGATATCCATAGTTTTCGCCGTAAGATAACCCCTTCCATGATTGTATATCCATTTCAGCGCGTCTAACCTCCCGTGCCTAGCTGCATCATCCGCTACTGTCATCCACCGTCTTGTTCCATGAGCGCCGGCGACCACTTTCATCACTTCAAAATGCCCATTGCATACTGCCGAGACGTACGCTCTGTCCGTGCACATATCGCCCCAATACCTTAGCCGGTTGATATTCGCGTGAAGCCACTGGACAACCTCAAGATGCCCATTAGCGGCTGCAGCATCCATAACATCGGCGCTATATCCCCCGCCGTTGCTGTACAGCCACTTTACCACTTCAAGGTGTCCTCCTGCTGCGGCATTCTGCATGGCACGACTTCCGGGAACTCCGCGTTCATGTAGCCATTTTACTACTTCCAAGTGCCCGTTTGCTGCTGCAGCGTCCATGGGATCGAAGTCACCACCGCGAGCGCCTTGGTCCCAGAGCCACTCCACCACATCCATGTGCCTATTTCCAGCAGCAGCACCCAACGCCTGTGCAGACTGTGGGTCATATCCATAGAGCCACTTTACTGTCTCCAGATGTCCTTGGCCTGCTGCTTCTTGTAAAGTCCACGCAAATTCAGTTCTCCACGGTTCCCGACGGTCCTCACGTTTGGCTACCATCCACTGCAACACGCGGAGATGACCGCCTCGTGCAGCAGATTTGATCGCCTCGTTCCAATCCGGAGCCGATCGCCCAAGAAGATACTCGAGAGCGCGCACAGAAGCCCCTCGTCCACAGGCGGCATTGAAAGCTTTCTGTCCCGGAAAGTCATCGATGAATCCGTCGATAAGTTGCTCAACCTCCGGTATGGACTCCTTGCGGGGGAAACACTCGCGCGACACATGGCGAACCGCAGCGCGCAGTGGTAGCGCATCCTTGGCCTCCATTTTGCTTCTTGAAGAATGGACGAGTTTTCTAGAGAAATATTAGTCCCTTTCGCATATAAAATCTAGAGAGGTCAATCGATCAATCAAGTCACGTTTGCCCCTACTTTAAGTATCTGCGTCTTGAAGTCACGATAAGAAGTTTTTTGTTTTTCGTAATACCGTCCGAGTAATGCGGATACACCTAGGTAATGCACCAACTTGTGATAAAAACATTGCCCATGTAAAATATCTCGTAAGTTTCGTTCAAACAACGCTCTGGTTCTCTCCATGCTTGAATATGTCTTGATATTGGCGTTGGGACATTTCCCATTTATAAGCTTCGGTAGCACATCAAACAATTGGATGAACTCTAGTAGGCTATGGTCGGTCTCGAGGTATAACTTGTGTTTGGAAATACTTTCAATGCGCAGGTACTGTTTAAGCGGCCAGTGTAGCTATTCACGCATTGACGATAAGCAGGCTTGAAACTTCACTAGTAGGTTTTTGTAGCCATCTTTGGTGTCAGATACACGAAGTGGTCCACATGAGGCGGCAGTTACATTTCCAAGCATGGCTACAGCTGGAGGACAGCGAAGGCTCCCGGTGTCTCTAATCGTGGCGTGCTCCGTGAACCGCGTGATCGGCAAGCAGGGCAAGTTGCCATGGAACCTGCCAGCAGACTGGGCGTTTTTCAGCTCCGCCACTCGCGACCAAGTGCTGGTGGTCGGTCGTCGCTCCTTCCAGGAGTTCGATGAGCCCATCCCGAACCGCCACACGATCGTCGTGTCCTCGACGCTCGAGAGACCACCACAGGCTCAAGTTGAAGCTGCTGGCGGTCGCTGGTCTGGTGTGCGCGTGGCTCGGACGCTGCATCAGGCGCTGGAATTGGTCAACTCGGACCCGCAGTACCGCGACTGCAGTCGCGTGTTCATTGGCGGAGGCCAGCGGTTGTACCAGGAGGCGATGGACGCCCAGGTCGCTGAGTCGTGCTACGTATCGAGAGTGCAGAGGGAGATTGAAGGCGGAGACGCGTTCTTCCCCAGGTGGACGACTCACTTCCCCACGCTGAGGTACTCGACGAAGACGAATGGAGGAGGAGGAGGCACGAGGTGAGTGGTCGGTTATGTACGAGGCTGGATTTCTTCTTGGTAAGCTGATGGCTGTGTGCATTTGATAGGGTGAGCTTTGAAATCTGGAACGCAGACAAGTAGTTGTGCTCTACGTTTAAATGTTCTCCTTGGGATGGATTCAGCCACTGGAGATTGTACCGAGGAATGATTCGAGTGTTATCGGTTTGGGCTGGCGCTGTGGTCCATTGCGTCGAAGCGAAGGTAGTGGGCCCAGGTGACACGAGTGCAGAGTGATAAAATGACGACCGTGCTGTAGCTGTTGAGTTTTATGATGCAGCGTTGCAAGAACATCGGATAAAACCATTTATCCAGCCACAGGGCGAGTAGGCTTCATGAAACAGCATGTCGAGGTGTATGGTTACGCACAACAGCAGCTTCGAAAACTAAACCCATGGCAAGCATGAGTATCTCAACGAGCTGACATGCGGTCGGTTCAATGGGTTTCACTAGAAATTGGCGTACTTAGACTACCTTGCCTAGGTAGTACCTAAATCACGGGAATAGGATAATTTTTAATCATTACTATAGTAAGCTTCCTACCCGATATTGCGACTCAAAAATGTACGTATAGCAAATTTATACTTATAAGTATGCAAAGTTTAGCAACACTAACGCGACCGTCTCGATTAGGCTAATAGTGTCCCCGTGTTCATGGCTGAGCGGGTGCTGGGTTTCAATGTACAAATGACGCCAATGTTGCGATTATCAATAGCAACACGGCACCGATATAATGTGGGGGACAGTGGAGGGGCTTGTTGCCAACCCAGCGTTGGGCGTTTGGTATCACTTCTTCACCAACCTGAACCCGCAGATAGAAACGGACGTATGATCAAGCAACTGGTGGACATTTATGGAGACATCCCAGGCGATCTCAGCGGCGATGAAGGACGAGACCACGCAAGGCGTTGCGGTTAAGTTGCAGGAAGCGCAATTTCAGAAGTGGATGCAACTTGATGAGAAGACGCCCGACACGATCTCGAAAATGCTCATGACGGGTAGAATGGGTTGCGGGCACCAGAGCATCGTTCAAAATTACAGAACATTTTACGAGAATGCTAACAAAAAAGTTGGTGCATTACCTAGGTGTATCCGCATTACTCGGACGGTATTACGAAAAACAAGAAACTTCTTATCGTGACTTCAAATCGCAGATACTTAAAGTAGGGGCAAACGTGACTTGATTGATCGATTGACCTCTCTAGATTTTATATGCGAAAGGGACTAATATTTCTCTAGAAAACTCGTCCATTCTTCAAGAAGCAAAATGGAGGCCAAGGATGCGCTACCACTGCGCGCTGCGGTTCGCCATGTGTCGCGCGAGTGTTTCCCCCGCAAGGAGTCCATACCGGAGGTTGAGCAACTTATCGACGGGTTCATCGATGACTTTCCGGGACAGAAAGCTTTCAATGCCGCCTGTGGACGAGGGGCTTCTGTGCGCGCTCTCGAGTATCTTCTTGGGCGATCGGCTCCGGATTGGAACGAGGCGATCAAATCTGCTGCACGAGGCGGTCATCTCCGCGTGTTGCAGTGGATGGTAGCCAAACGTGAGGACCGTCGGGGACCGTGGAGAACTGAATTTGCGTGGACTTTACAAGAAGCAGCAGGCCAAGGACATCTGGAGACAGTAAAGTGGCTCTATGGATATGACCCACAGTCTGCACAGGCGTTGGGTGCTGCTGCTGGAAATAGGCACATGGATGTGGTGGAGTGGCTCTGGGACCAAGGCGCTCGCGGTGGTGACTTCGATCCCATGGACGCTGCAGCAGCAAACGGGCACTTGGAAGTAGTAAAATGGCTACATGAACGCGGAGTTCCCGGAAGTCGTGCCATGCAGAATGCCGCAGCAGGAGGACACCTTGAAGTGGTAAAGTGGCTGTACAGCAACGGCGGGGGATATAGCGCCGATGTTATGGATGCTGCAGCCGCTAATGGGCATCTTGAGGTTGTCCAGTGGCTTCACGCGAATATCAACCGGCTAAGGTATTGGGGCGATATGTGCACGGACAGAGCGTACGTCTCGGCAGTATGCAATGGGCATTTTGAAGTGATGAAAGTGGTCGCCGGCGCTCATGGAACAAGACGGTGGATGACAGTAGCGGATGATGCAGCTAGGCACGGGAGGTTAGACGCGCTGAAATGGATATACAATCATGGAAGGGGTTATCTTACGGCGAAAACTATGGATATCGCTGCTACCCATGGCCATCTAGAAGTAGTGAAATGGCTACATGCTCGCAAAAATGTCTACAAAAAGGGCTGCACCCAGGAAGCCATGAATGGCGCTGCGAAGAATGGCCACCTAGCGGTTGTAGAATGGCTGCATGATAATCGCACTGAAGGATGCACCACAGCTGCAATGGACGGTGCTGCGGTAAATGGCCACCTCGACGTTGTCTGCTGGCTACATGACTATCGCACTCAAGGGTGTACGGGAAATGCAATCAAATGGGCTGCGGGAAATGGTCACCTACCGGTGGTCGAATGGCTGTACAAAGTCTACGGAAGCCAGTTTTCGATTCCGGACCTCATGAACTCTGCAGCACTTGCTGCTCGTGGGGGTCACCTCAAGATTGTGCAAATGCTGGCGATGAATTGCTGGTTCTCCCATCCGAAATATTTGACGGCGGTGATGGCGAATGCCTTCATGTTTGGAAAAATTTCTGTTGTCGAGTGGCTACTAGGGCGTGGATATCAAGTGCGCGCGAAAGATACTCAATGGGCCCAGGAGACCTGGAACAAGCGCACAGGCAAGTCGGAGACATTGCAGATAATTTACCAAGGAGCGCGAGTGAGCGTACCAGACGTACGACGAATTATCGTGGCAGTAGGAGATCTCCGGATGCTTCGGTGGCTGTGGCGGCACGGGTGCCAATCATACACATCCGACCATTTCCAGGCTGCTGCTTGGAATGCGAAAGTAGTCGTTACGCGGTGGCTGCTTGAAAATGGAGCGCAACCGGATCGTGAAGCGACTTGGGACCATTTATGGTCTTTTGATCATCTTGAAGTCCTGGAGTGGGTGACGGAAAGCGACCGCGTGTGGGTTTTGCGTAAGGCGCTCAAAAAGGATGAAGAAGGGCTAGAGAAAGTTTTGTGGATGCTGGAAAATAACAAATTTCAGGACGCCGACTCGCGTATCGCCATCCGCAATGCCATCTACCAAGCTTCAAATGACAGTCTGCAGTGGATTGAAGCTCGTCTTCAGACTCCAGAGGTCCGGAGCTGGTGTTTTGGTGACGAAGAACAAGTTGGACCCACCAAGCGACAACGCACGCGATAAGAGGATGCTGTAACCTCGAGACGCTTCAAGGAATTCGTATTTTGAAATAAAAAAAATGAGGCGATCTTTTTCATTAGATAGTGATGGCTGTATTTTGGGTACACTGGGGTGCTGGCGTTTATTCATGGAAATTGGGTGATACGTTATTTATGAAAGAAAGAGAGCGCCAGGACATTGCTCAAGCTCTTAACACATTTCACATGGATAATAATATATACTAGCTGAGCACCTCGTTCACTGCGCTTCCTCGCTGCTAATTTGGGGCGACACTAAATATTGTGCTTTACACAAAATTTCGCGATGCCCCCCAGAGCCGATCGAAACCTTTGCATACAAGAAAGCTTAACAGCCTGATACGCTGAGAAATCATTTAATTTGTCGTCAAACTTCATTTAGTTGACCTGTAGTGCTAGGAGTAAGCGAGTGTATCGAGATTGTGTATCAACACTTCACACGCATGCCTCATGCGCAGACCTCTACCAATACGGAAATTTCCGAATTTTTCCTATATCCTGGCGATCACTGACAGAATATGGGAGAAGTTTTGAAGGTTCTACATCGTTTGAAGTGCTTTCTTGGAGCTATCCGCCAGTGTTGATAGTCTGTTCGATTTGCTTTATCTGTAACTGTTGTGTACTTTGACGTAGCTGCTTTGTATAGCAAGCTGCATCAATTGCTTGGTCGGTTTTGCGGTCCTCCGCTGTCTAATCTTCTGCTGATCGATTTTGATAACCTGACATTTTCCTTTAGTGCACTACTACACCGTTGCTGAGCCGTGGAACTCTCGGTTAATCTTACCTCCGCACAAAAGTACGCTGAAAATAGTTGTGCTTTTGAAAACGACTAACGGTAGGCAATTGGGTAGCAACAGGACAACAGGAATAATGTTTATTTCTCAGCGCTTTAGCAGCACTTGCATTAGCAATCTGTAGCGAGTACGTGACAGTGAGTGTGTTCAGCAGGCCCATGATGAAGGAGTACACGAGCGCAGCTGGCTCACACTACGAGGCGAGCAGCGAAGGACGGGGGTTACAGACGGAAAGATCGCCAACAGCGAGTGCGAGGCGCGATCTTGCACCGAAGCAACGCACGAGCGGCTCACAGCAGCCGAGCGAACCGATGGCTGAGGGCGTCCGAGGCTAGCGACGGGCTGTTCGCGGGCGAGGGCTCACTTGGCAATCTGCCAGACAGCGAGCACTAGCAACAGCCACAGACAGCAACAGCAGAACAGTAGAGCAGCAGCAACTGCCGACATTACAGGACGAGCTACGAATAGACAGGACAAGTCAGACGGATTGACCGGAGGCTTGCTGGTGACGTGGAGCGCACCTGTAAAGTCGTGTAGTGTAGCAGCAGAGGTCGAGGTTGCAGTGCCGACTTGAAGTGGCCGCGATTGACGAACAAGTGAATAAATAGGGACTCTTAGCGGGGTTCCGGCTGCTGAGTGTGGCCAGTTCGTGTCATTGTCATTCTGTATCCACGGACCTTGCCCGCAGCAGCACTGTAGCGAGCTTGCGGACCCACCGACGAGCAGGTGTCCCGACACTCGCTACAAATCCTTTCATGGCCAGTAGGTATCCCCGAGTTGACGTGTATTGCGCCTTTTAGTCTTTGTGCCGCTTTTTGTTTAAGATTGAGGCTCTGTACTTGCAAGAGGTTGGATCAGTGCTTATTTTATTAATGTATTAGGGAAACCTAACGAGATACCCCTTCGAAAACTATTTCATGAGACGCCCTTCACGGCCAGCACTAACCATATGCCCCTCATTTAAAATTCGCCTCATAGGAATGACATACAAAGTACCACTGAAAGTGGTGAGAACGTAGGCAGCATACTTTATCTCTCTGCTGGAGATTATACCTCTCCTTCACTTTCATAAAAGAGCTCGGTAGAGCATTTTTTACCATCAGGTTTGAGTCAGTTTTGACATCAATATGACCTTTCCGTGACTTCCTTTTCGAGTTTGCAGCTCTCTCTCTCTCTCTCTCTCGGACATAATGATTCCTCAACATGTATTGATATTATTCATCTCAAGTCGACCACACCACTAACAACGCAGTATACATCAAAAAGACATGTATCAGCATTTTTGCCGGGAACTTATCAGCACTTTTAGCCGGGAACTTCTCATTTTTCTAGTGAATCCATACCAGATGATAATTTTATAAGTTTCCGCACACCACGATTCCGTTTGCCGGCGACAATCGGTGTTTAACGTGAAATAACGCTGTAGATAATAGTAAGTCAAGAATACAATAGACACAAACTGCGATAATTGTGAACGTAGCAAGAATGATTGCCGCCAGCCTCCTTGTCGCTCCATAACTCAAAGTCTAATAGAACTAATGCATTACAGAGTATTCGTTAAGCATCCCCAGTATTACCTTCATTAACGATGTTGCGTGGTTGCTACATGTATAGTTTTCGAAATTTTGACTAATGATCCAGTTACTGGGTCCGATTTCTCACAAATGGGACCTTAGATAACGCTGTGAAACTTGAGATAATGATTCGTAAACCTATTTAGTCCTTACAATTCGATCCATACGGCGTGCAGTAGCAGTCTGGCTTCGCTTTAGCTTCATATACTTCAAGCAATAACTTACTACTAAATAGTAAATAGTGAATCCCAGATTTTCCATATTTTGCTCTTCAAAAAAAGATCATAATTGCTGAAAAAGAGGGAAATATGATTTTTCCCGCATAAGTAGAGGTCTGCTCATGCGAACAAGTTTCAGTAAAAAGCTTAGGATGGGTTATCACTACACCTGTGCCAATCCAAGTTGGCAGTAGTGTAAGGCAAAGCCGAGAGTCCCGGTAATACGAAAAATACTTTTTTCAAAAATTTATTTTCGAGGATTAGAACAGACTAATGTGGATTTAGTCCACAGCAAACATCTAAGTTCCATACTCCATGGGCTCGCTACGAATAGCAGACCTTGCGTCCGCTTACAGTTCTCGGTGTGCATCGAGCACACGCGTGCGGGCCGCAAGCCCATGCTTCGGCTCTTGGGGCATGTTGCCGGCGGAGACAGTCTGTTACTGACCAGTGATTTGAGTTTGCTCTGCACTAAATCCACATTGCTCTAAGTACTAATTTCAGAAATTATTTTCCGATTTTTGGATGTTACTTAAGTTACTTCACACCGTTTTGCTTTACACTGCTGCCAACTTGCGATTGGCAAAGGTGTAGTATTATGATGGTTTGATATACTATTATTTTCAAGTCTGATTATCCATGTCGTACCAATAGTAAAAGCATCTTTATACCAATACTACTATTTATAAATCAATAAAATACTAACGTTAACATACGAGCATACTGTAAAATTACTTTCTTAGTGCTACTTTTACTAACGGAGAACTGCTACTGTAAGGATCTGGTTGTGCTTGTTGTGTTGCGAGTAAAATGGAAACTGAATTGATGTCTTTGTCTGTTTGCTGCTATCCATCTACCCGAGGGCGCCCTCATGGCGCTCGGTCCTAAACACGAAGTGGTTGGCTGAGGCGTGCCGGAGCAGGAGCTTGCGCAATCGGTGAATATGCAGACGACGACTTGGGCTCTCTGCGTGCGGACTCAACTGATGATGTGGTTGTGTTCTGCTCTTGCACGTGCAGATCATTACACTTCCCCCGACTTGAGCGAGTCCCGGCACCTTGAACGTTGAAGTCGCCGAAGTTGAAGTAGGTAGTACCGTAGACCCTCGATGTAAGCAACAGTACCGTGAAAACTCTGTTCAAGAGAATTCCACTAAGCCCGTGCCACTCGATTGCGTTGGCGAAGATCTTTTAGCAGCGCTTGCCAGTGGCTGACGTGTTTGATGTCGCGCTCGCGTTCCCACGTTTTCTCATTGTCAGGGAGCCCGTGCCACTTGACCAAGTACTCAGGTTGGCGGTTGAAGATGCGCTTCTTGATCAGAGCTTCGACAACGTGTAGTGGCTCGCCATCGTCGTCGAAAATCACGGGAGTCGACTTCGGGATCACACGGCCGACGAAGCGGTCAGGGTTGCTGTTGTATACCTTGAGCTTGTCGATGTTGAAGCGTGGGCTGATGTGCTTCAAGTTGGCCGGTAGATCCAGCAGCGCGATGTTGTCGTGAAGTTCCAGGATCGGGTACGGACCGATGAAGCGCGGGATGAACTTCCGTGAGCGAAGCGTCGTTTCCGCGGCAGCGTGCGAGATGTTCAGGTCCTGCGTCGACAGCAA